TATAGTAGACAGACATGCAATCCAAGGAGTTCCAAATATCATTCTATTCTATCTAAGTTGCCCTCGTGCCTAGCAATACCCCCACGCCATGGAGGTAAAGGAAGCCGCAATCCGCTCTCGTAGAACTCGTGAGTGCAGCACCCCCTACACCCGTTCATTGGGAGCTTAAGAAGATAATGTATGAAGCCCGGGAGAAAACTTCAAACCAGCATCCAGAAGATACAATAAATAGTATGGGGAGGCGATGTGAGGCTGTAAATGCTGCTGAGGGCGGCCCAACTCCATATTGATAATCAAACCATCCCATCTTTGGCTAGCTGGATAGAACGGCAAAGGTTACTGGGCACTCCCATACGAATTATTTGGCACTCTCACAAGACAGGGATTTACATTGGTATAGCGCTAACTGTATTATTCTATCTAGTGCTGTAATTCAGGCCTCTTTCTCCCTTTTTAACCTCTCCGCCTCTCTCTTTCTCTATCTCCTTTTACTTCTCTTTTTACTTTTGTTTAAGAGATAAGACTTAAGTAAAAAGAGATAAAAAGAAGAAGGAGAGAGAAGAAGAGGAAAGAAGAGATAGAAGAGGAGGTAGGAGGGAAGTAGAGAGAGCTGTATCCTCTCTTTCTTCTCTCTTTTTTTCTCTTACTAATATGAAATAATATAAATTTCGTAAGAGTGAACGCTAGGCAGAGGGGGGGGGGGGCCAACTTATAGGGGTGCCAAATAACTCGTATGGGGGTGCCCAGTAACCTTTGCCTGCCTAAAAGGTGAACCCCCGGGGACGCAAGACCCTGTCCGCTCTATCAGCCGCGACTCCACCTCCATCAGTTCTCAGCCTAGCCTAAGATATGAACATGCAGCTCCTCCAATGCGTGCGCAAGCGACCGTGTTAGTCCTAGCCCCGCGAGGACCTCGTCGGTCCGTTTTATAAGCGGCTTGCTCGCCTGCCTGCCTGCATTGCTAGAATACCTTCCTGCCCCCGTGATACGCGCCCATACCTGCCCAACACACCCAAATTGTGTACGTACGGATGATTCGAAATGTCCGGTGCCGAAGCCATTACTGCCATTCAGCTGATCGACGCCTGCATCGGCATCGCTACTACGATCATCGAAATTGGGCGTGCCGTTCACGATGCTCAAGGATTACCACCAAAGCTTCGAGACCTGCTCGAAAAGCTGCCAGCAATCCAAGAACTGTTGGAAAGTGCGCAGGAGAGCTGCGATGAAGGGAGAATCACAGAGGATGCTAGCAAGAACGCACAGCCGATTTTGAAACAGTGCAAGGAGGCTTTAGCTGAACTAAGAGACATATTCAGGAAAGCGTGCCCAAAAGACGGGGAGAATCGTACCAAGCGCGTCTGGAGAGGCACAAAGACTGTCTTCTTCGGCCGAGATAGCCAGGCACAGAGGCTTCTGGTGACTATTCAAGACAACTTGAGACTGTTGGAACAGAAGGAGATCTATGTTATTGGCGACAAGCTGGACGCACTGGAGCAAGTTACGGAAGCACTAGCGAATGAGGACGGCAAGTATACACATACTGGAGCGGGCAATATCATTGCCAATGAAGGCGGCAGCCCTACGAATTATGTAGTTGGTGGAAGCAACAATCGGCAGGTCAACAATCCTAGAGTATACAATGAGGGCCCTTCAAGTACGTAATTTCGCCCTCGTGTGGTCACACCGATTTCTCAATCGAGACAATTCCTTCTTCACTAGCATCCATTCACAGCGTGCCTAAGTCGACTTGGATGAATCTGTACTGACCATGCTGGTGTTAGCATATAATTACACTTATCTACCACCAGGTAAACTCGGCCTTGAATGCTATTGAAGTACGTGCACTTGTTTATTAGCCGCTGACGACAGCGCGACGCTAGAACGACCCGAGACAACGCCTGAACCGTCGATTAGCGTCCCGTTTCCACGCGACCCAGACTTCGTCGACCACGGAACGCTGCTTGACCAGATTAGCAAACGGTGCGCAGCGCCAGCATCGCGGGTAGCGCTAGTGGGCCTCGGCGGCGTGGGGTAAGCCCAGGGAAGGAACATTAGGTCGGTGCTCGCACCTAACATACAACACAGGAAGTCGCAGCTAGCCATCGAGCACTGCTACCGCACTGCCGAACAGTCGCTGGACACATGGGTGTTCTGGGCGCATGCGAGCAACACCGCGCGACTCGAGCAGAGCTTCCGGGAGATCGCCGACCAGGTTAGGGCTCGCGGCCGCAAGGACCCGCAAGCAGACGTGTTTAAGCTAGTGTACGACTGGCTGCGCGATGCGAAGAACGGACGGTGGCTATTAGTACTCGACAATGCAGATGATGCTGCTACAGTCTCTCCGACAGAGGGCAGCAGTGGTCTCCAGCAGCATCTATCGAGGTATCTGCCTTTCAGCAGGCACGGCACCGTCCTTGTGACGAGTCGGACAAAGCACGCAGCGAAGCAGATTGTGGAGGACAGTGACATTATACTAATCGAGCCAATGCACGATGCAGCTGCATATGCTCTGCTCCGTAAAAAGCTAAGGGACATAGACGACAAAGACGAAAACATCGCTACGCTAGCTATGATACTCGATCGTATGCCGCTTGCTCTCGTGCAGGCTGCAGCATATATTCGAGAGCGAGCACCACGGTGCTCAGTGCGGCAGTACCTCGAGGAGTACCGGCAGAGCGATCGCAGAAAGACGAGTCTGCTAAACCGGGAGGCGGATCACCTTCGCCGAGATAAAGCAGCCAGCAACTCTGTCTTGGTAACGTGGCAGATCTCATTCGAACACATACGGAGCACAAGACAGTCAGCAGCAGGCCTGCTGTCGCTAATGAGCTTCTTCGACCGACAGGGGATCCAGGAAGCTCTACTCCACGAACAGAGCAGCATAGCAGACGACGGATTTGAAGAGGACGTGCTAGTCCTGCGAGACTACTCGCTTATCGCCGTGACTAGAGATGCAGACACATTTGAGATGCATAGCCTAGTGCAGCTAGCGACGCGCACGTGGCTCGAAAACGAAGGGCAGCTGGCTAAGTGGAGAGAGCAATTTATCTCCAACTTGTGTGCAGCGCTGCCGACTGGAGAGCACGAAAACTGGGAGAAGTGCCAAGCCCTATTTCCACACGCACGAGCGGCACTAGCACAGAGGCCTGAGAGTAAAGAGTCACGAAAGGAGTGGGCGTTGTTGCTATATAGGGCGGCATGGTACGCGTGGCGACGGGGGAGAGCAGGCGAGGCAGAGGAGATGGCGATGATGTCGATGGAGGTTAGGAGTGAAGAGCTTGGGGAAGAAGATGTGAGAATGCTAGAGAGCATGGGGATGGTGGGACTAGCTAGAGTGATTGGAGGTAAGTACAAAGAGGCAGAGGCGATGCATAGGCAGACGCTGGCCCGGATGGAAAAGATGTTCGGGTACGGACATCGACACACGCTGTCGAGCATGAACAACTTGGCGATAGTGCAAGCTAGGCAGGGCAAGTATAAAGAGGCAGAGGAGATGCATAGGCAGACGCTGGCGTTAATGGAGAAGGTGGAGCATCCAGACACGCTACTAAGCATGAGCAACTTGGCACACGTACTAGATAGCCAGGACAAGTACGAGGAGGCAGAGGTGTTATATCGACAGACGCTGGCGCGGAGAGAGGAGGTACTCGGGCATAAGCATCCAGACACGCTACTAAGCATGCACAACTTGGCACACGTACTAGACAACCTGGGGAGGTACAAGGAGGCAGAGACGATAGACCAACAGACGCTGGCGTTAATGGAGAAGGTGCTCGGATATGAGCATCCAGACACTCTAATGAGCATGCACAACTTAGCACACGTGCTGGGCAGCCAGGGCAAGTACGAGGAGGCAGAGGTGTTATATCGACAGGCGCTGGCGCGGAGAGAGAAGGTCCTTGGGCATGAGCATCCAGACACGCTAACGAGTATGCATACCTTAGCACACGTACTGGATAGGCAGGGCAAGTACGAGGAGGCAGAGACGATAAACCGAAAGACGCTGGTGTGGAGAGAGAGGGTGCTCGGGCATGAGCATCCATACACGCTAATGAGTATGGGCAACCTAGTAGGGGTACTAGATAGACAGGGCAAGTACGAGGAGGCAGAGGTGATGAATCGACAGACGCTGGCGCAGAGGGAGAAGGTCCTCGGGCATGAGCATCCAGACACGCTAACGAGTATGCAAAGCTTAGTACTATTACTAGCTAGGCAGAGCAGGTATGCAGAGGCAGAGGCGATAAATCGACAGACGCTGGCGCGGAGAGAGAAGGTCCTCGGGCATGAGCACCTATCCACGCTGACGAGCGTATACTGCCTTGCCAATCTTCTTACACATCAGCGTTGCTACAATGAAGCCCTTGCTCTATACAAGAGAGCATGCACTGGGTACGAAGCTACGCTTGGGAAGGCTCACTCAACCACGCATGCGTGTCACCAGCATTACGCTGACGCGCTTGCATCTCACAAGCAGCACCAGCTTGCTATCCCTCCCATAACTCCGGATAGCAGCGCACGTGCATACGCAGGCAAGCAGTCAAAGCTGGTACGAGGGCTAGCAAAGATAGGCATTAGAAGCTCAAAGTCTGTGGGGTAGAGATGTCAGATTCTGCAATTATATGTGTCAATTACTCTAAGCTAATTTCAATATTGCTACAGGAGTACATGTAACCTCCTACCTCTACTACTCATCATTCACTCTTAAAAACAGGCGTGCGTGGATTCCAGTGCGGTGTCTAAGCATGCATTCGATCACGTTGGACCAAACTGGATAACGAGCGAGTTATGCTTAGTACTACGTAGCCTTACTACTAGCCGCTAGCTAGGTGACTCTGTCTAAGCTACGCTCGCGGGACAAAGGCCTAGCATCTGTACTGATAGAATACCACCAAATCTCTTACAGTATTTTTGTACGACTTCCAGGTAGCTTGACAGACTTTTGGAAACATACGTTAAGCCTTTGGCGCGTCCGAGGCTGCCCGAGGCGGGATACTTAGTACTCGGATCCCAATCATCCGCAATTTGCAAACTCAACTCCACCGGCGTTTCCAGCGGCACTTCCTCCACAACGCAGCCGCATACCCGCAAAACGTGTTTCGATTCCTTGGGTACTCTTTGTAATTTTCTTCCTCACTACCATGTGGTACACATCCATGCTATTTGGCGCATGGTTCCTATCAATTGTCCGACCAGTCCCACCGAGCTTTGCCGCACAGGAGATCACTGTTTATATTCATGGAGAATTAGTGCAGGGGAAGGTGTCAGTATCCACAAGACTCTTTGCCACCCTGACAAGCACCACAGCATCTATTGCCCAGACGCCAAGTCCAACAAATCCTTTGCCTAGTAGTGGGAACGATGGATTACCTGATGTAGGTAATGAGCTTTGCAGGATATCGTCAGATGTGGGGAGAACTGTTGCCTCGGCGCCTACAGGCTTCGTCACAATCATGAGAGGGATACCTTGAGCAAGACATTTTTGTTCGAAACTGCCCCACTATAGGCGCCAGCACGACGCGTCATGGACTGCGGCCTCATCAAAGGATCCAAAAAGTAAAATATGCTATTCCACTGAAGAGAGTAATGGGCGACAATGACATTGGAGTCATACACTTCTATCTTTTTATTCTATCATCTTCAATCCCCGTTACCAGACCTTTCTTTCATTTCCGATGCCCTTGGCGGGAATTCGCTGTCTATTTCTTCCGTTCAGTCCCAGTTTCTAGAATAAATTGGACGTGGAGCGGCTGTCGAGCCAGATTCTGCATATTGATGGCGAGTCGCTACAGGAGCTTTCGTTTTGAAACAAGCACGAAACAGGTCGGCTAGCCCGTTCTGGCAGACTTGGAAACACTCGCTTCTCCACTATCATGAACATTCAATCTCGGATAGTACGTGTTGCATAATGGCGCACTACAACTTTACCACATGGAGTAAATTCATTGCTTATTCTAGACAAGCCGCTGGCGTGCCGTGACTTCGTTTCTGTCAAAGCAATGTCGTTCCCGCACCCAGTGGCCGGGATAGCGCGAACTGTTGCCGCGAAGGATTCATGGCGGCTCGCCGTAGTCTTCGGAGATATACTATCCTGTGCAGGCGCGTAATTGAAGTAAAGGATCAGCGTTTGGACATACATAAAAGCGCTGGACAGTCGTCCCTCATCGATTTTTTCCATCATTCCAACGGGCCAGTCCTTTCTTTGAACACATTCACTCAGTTCCTTTCTACCACATTCATTCTTTACCTTACATTCCATCTTTGTGATCAGGCATCACCATCACACATTTGAAATCCAAAAACTGTACATAACACTTATCCAACACACGTCACCATGTTCATCAAGGCCGTCTTCACGAGCGCTCTTCTTTCCGCCGTCTCGGCTCACCAGAACCTCCACCAACTTTGGGTCAACGATGTCACGCCCGGATACCAGGTCGGCATCCGGATGCCACCCTCCAACAGCCCCGTAGTTGATTTGACGAGCGACGACATGGCCTGCAACGTTGGCGGCTCCAAGGTCCCATCCGGCGTCAAGACAATCGAGGCCAACGAGGGTGACAAGATCAAGGTCCAGTGGGATAACTCTGGACACCCGGGACCGATCACGCACATGCTTTATGGTCCCGTCGATGATGCTTCGCAAGCCACTGGTATCGGTGCTGGATGGTTCAAGATTGACGAGATGGACTTTGTCGATGGAAAGTGGGCTTCTGAGATCATGCAAGCAGCCAACATGACGCATGAATTCCCTCTTCCCACTGGCCTTGCCAGCGGCGAGTACCTACTCCGTTCAGAGATGCTGGCACTCCACTCTTCTCAGACAAAGGGTGGCGCGCAGTAAGTTGATCTTCTCACTTATCATGTATAAGCTAACGTGACAAAGATTCTATATTGGCTGCATGCAACTGAAGATCAAGGGCACTGGCAGCAAGGGCTCATGCACACCTACCATCTCGCTTCCCGGCGCCTACAAGGCTGACGATGCCGACATCTACATCCCCAACTACTACAACGGATACGTTGCTACCAACTACAAGGCTCCCGGTGGTGCGGTTGCTACTTGCGGTGGTGCTGGTGGCGCTGCTCCAGTTGATACTCCCGCCTCCAACTCAACTGAGCCTGCTCCCTCTTCGATTGCCGACGAGACTGCTGCCCCTACTCTCGCACCCACCGTTCCTTCTGGCAATGATACTCTTCCATCGGCTCCGGCTGTCCCCAGCACATTTGCCACCCTCCCCAGCCCACCTGCTGGCATTACAGCTCCCGCCGGTGCCGTCCCCACTGGCTCCGTAGGAACTGCTAAGCTCTACTACCAGTGCGGCGGTGTCAACTACAATGGTCCCACTGAATGCGAGGCCCCTGCCAAGTGCGTCAAGCAGAACGACTTCTACTCGCAGTGCATCAACTAGAGGAATTGGGATGGCTCAATGCGCACGAGGAGACGCGAGGTGGTGGTGAAAAAGAATTGTTGGTGTTCTTGTACATATACTACGCTTACGTAGATGTTGATCTACAATCTTACCTTTGACATTATTGAATTCATATGCGTTCCGAGTGACAAATTGATGCGGCGCCGTTGTGCAACAGAAATAGCCAGGTTGGCTAGAGTTTGAAGCTGGAGGACGGGAAATAAGGAGGCGGTCGTGGCATAAGGTTGAGAAGGAGAAAAAGCAATGTCCTGGTAGCCTCTGATGCTGAGGTGGTCCCCTGAACCACAAAAGGAAAGCGCACCGCGTGGCCGCTTGCTCAACAGGAAGGAGCGAGGCGTTGTACGCATACTTACTTGCTGTACTAGGCTAATCGTCAATGCATGTATGTACATGTGTCTGTGTATGTACTCGTACCTGTAAAAGCAAAGCCACGTCTACACAGCAAAGTACCAACGGCTGTCAAATACACATGTATGATAGCGTTGTATCGGTAGCGCGTCGTGTACCCGTGGCGTGCGTCAACGCCTGATCAGCCTCGATTCGCAGACACAGCGGGAGGCCAGCCGATGGCTTTGTTTCAGGTTAACCGCAGTTGTACCACCCTGGCTGCCGTCTGAACAGCTGGCTTGAGGGGCGCATTGCATATGCAGACGAAAGCCGCACCTGTCAGCAAAATTCCCACAACCACACAGACTCGAGACGAACAGTCTTGATGCGACGCCGAGTCGCCGAAAAACAACTTTCAGTGGTTGCTCCTTTTCGTGGCTTTCGCAAAGCCCTGGCCTTCTAGGCCGCCGTCGCCGCCGCCGGGGTTGCTCCACTATTGTCCGTTCACTACCCACGTACCCCCCCATCTTCACAATAACCATTCACACCACCCCCGAACCCCTCGACTTCTTCGTTGAAAACCACCAAAAATAACTAGCCCTTAATCCTTATTCTATACCCCTCACCCAAACAAAAACTAAAGAGTTGTCCTGCATCGACTGCACTTGCCCTTCAAGTTGCTGTTCGGCACCACCCAATAACCCACACCGCCCGCCCTCACAAACATACTAAACATGGCCGACAACAGGCCGACAAGCTCACACAGTTCCGACAAGGACGCGGTACGCACTGCATATTTCTCCCACCATGTCTTTGTTTGATTTAGCAAAGCCTTCAGCGTGCAAGCTTGCTAACCGTCATGCCGCAACAGGACAGTTTCGAGGACGCATCGGAAACTTCACCTCGCCCAGACTCGCCCTCTGGAAAATCACAGTCACGCTCGCGCTCATTACTTCAAAAAGAGACCCCCTCATCGACCGTACAAGAAGTCAAGACGGATCCGACTGCACGTGCAGCACCAGCAGCAGCCCCGAAAGACAGCAAAGACGACAGCGATGAGAGTGAAGAGGAGGATGAAAGTGATGGAAGTGACGAAAGCGACGAAACAGACGAGTCCGGCACAGGCAGCGAAGCTGAAGAACCGGAAAAGCCCATCAACGATGCACCTGTCAAAAAGCCGCCCCTACCCAACAGAGTGTCGGTAACGTCGGACATGGACGATGTGTCTTTGGATGGTGGTGCGTATTTCCTCTCCGTTTGAGACAAACAACACCATATAAAGATTGGAATGCCTGCATTTCAATGCCAGGAGCATCCACACCTCCTGACAGCACCTGCCAACTTGTGGCCTCCCCACGTGTCCCAGTACATGCTTCCCAATTCTGAGACTGACCCACTGCAGACGGTGCAAAAGCTCCAGGCTCTGTGCCAAAAGCACCACTGCGAGACTCCCAAGACTCTACGGCTTCGATCCAAGGCCTCTCCGGAAGAATGTCTCCTGTCAAATTTCCTCCACCCCCCGCTCCGCCAGCCGCGCCAGCCGCTCCAACCGCTTCAACCGCGCCAGAAAAGCCACCAACTACGTCCAGAAAACTTACCGGTCCTTTCGCGTGGCTGTCAAGGAATAGCACCAGCAAGAAATCTGAGTCTCCGCCAGCATCCACAACAATGACGGAACGCAGAAACACAGGGGCTTCCATTGCGACCATCGGTAGCAATCCCGACCTCTCGTCGAGCAGGACCGAAGGTGAGGGCGAGACTGGTTCGAACAACCGAACGAGCCAAGGAAATCTTCGAGACCGTTTCAAGTTTTTGCGCATGAGGGAGGAAGCCGGCATAACGATGGGTGACGAAACCAGCCTGAACGGCAACCCAACTGCTGTGGTAACCAGGCCGACTAGTGTTGGTCTCATCAGTCCACCCATCGTTCCCGAAGACGAGCCAGGAAGTCCACCATCACTTACAAGACAACCTACTATCAATCCAAAGCTGGCCCCTGGAACTGCATCCGGATTTGCTGCTGGCCCAGCGGGAGATGCAGCTGAGCCTGTAGATTGGGATCTCTGGCAGTCTGTGGTCAATGAAGGACCAGCTGCCATCGCCCGCACCAGCGCAGAGGAACTCAATCATGCCATTGCAAATGGAATTCCCCAAGTCATCCGAGGTGTTATTTGGCAGGTGATGGCGCAAAGCAAGAACGAGGAGCTCGAGGTCACGTATCGGGAACTCGTAGCCCGTGGTACTGATAAGGAACACATGAGCCTTAGCACACCCAATCTTACCGGTGGACAGACAAACGGGAATGGGAAGGAGTCAGTTGCTTCCTCCTCCTCGTCAGTTCACTCAGACTACTCGAGCCCACCCACTACGACTGGGAGCACAAACGTAGCGCCGGCCTCGCCGCCACTCACCGCAGATAACTCCGAAGACCCCATCAAGGTACAGGCAAGAGTGGCTGCTGAAAAGAAGCAAAGCGCTGCCGCCATCTCGAAACTGGAAAAGGTTATCAAACGTGACCTGGGTGCGCGTACAAGCTACTCAAAGTACGTCATGGCGGCTGGTTTACAGGATGGCCTTTTCGGTATTTGCAAGGCTTACGCTTTGTACGACGATGCCGTTGGCTACGCCCAGGGCATGAACTTTATCGCCATGCCTCTACTATTCAACGTAGGTCCCAATTCATGTTTCCCTTGTTACATTACTGACTTTACAAGATGCCTGAAGAAGAGGCTTTCAGCCTTTTCGTAACGTTGATGAACAAATATGGCCTCCGGGACCTATTTGTACATGACATGCCTGGACTCCACTTGCATCTCTACCAGTTTGAACGTCTCCTGGAAGACTTTGAACCTGCTCTCTACTGCCATTTGCGCCGTCGGGATGTAAAGCCTCAGCTCTATGCCACGCAATGGTTCCTTACGCTGTTCGCATACCGTTTCCCGCTACAGCTAGTCCTACGTATTTACGACCTGATCCTCAGCGAAGGTCTCGAGTTGGCCATCCTGAAGTTTGGCATCGTCCTGATGCAGAAGAACGCCGAAACACTACTAGGCATGAAGGATATGGCAACACTCACAACCTTCCTGAAAGAGCGACTGTTTGACGTATACATTGACAAAGCCCCTTCTGCGAACTCAATTCTTGAGAACGGCTTCTTTGGTTCCACAGCAGGTATCGACAAGGAGATTTACCGCGCTGACACACTTGTAAAAGATGCTGTCGCTGTAAAGATTGCACCCGAGACACTGAAGCAGTACACTGCTGAATGGAAGGAGCAACGACGGATAGAAAAGGACCGTGAGACTGAGCTCGTAGGGCTCAAAGAAAAGGTTGCTTCTTTGGAGCAAAAGGTGCGGTCATTGGAACACCGAGCCGAACAATCGGACATGGAGCACGTTCAGGTTGCCTCTGAGCTCATCAAAACCAAGGTGGAGAACGAGAACTTGGAAGAAGAGAACGAGACACTGAAGACAAAGGTGCAAGAGCTCCAGAAGATTGTCGACACACAGCCTGCAGAGGTCGAAGCACGACTGAAGCACGAGATGGAGACTGTGATGCAAAAGAACATTGTTGTTCACAACGAGAACCGTAATCTGGAAGATGCAATGGCCGAGATGGAGAAGGAACTGGTCGATGTCAAGATGCAATGGGCTACGGTAAGGCTACTGCAGCTAGGTTGAGTCGGAGACACAGCTAACGAAACGTTTAGATTAACGAAGAACACGAGGCACTCAAACAAAAGTGGAACAACATCTCACAGATGATGAAGAAGTGAGCCCTGAATTTTGGGCTCCACGTATGCATCCGAGGCCAGCTGTTGGGCACCAGATCTATTCCACCACGTCGATCGCCCCTTGATTCGTTTCTAATGTCTATATAAACACGTTTACCCTGCATGTCACATAGGGTTGGCAGGGTTTCGTATGATGTTCATCTTGTGTGGGCGATGTTGGATTCTCAACAGACAGGTGGTCCGCATCGCCCGCACCCCTGTTACATAAAGGAAGGCAGTGCCTGCAGTTCGAGCATGGAGGGAGTTGGATAGCTTGCATGAGTATAGGAACAGGGGTTTGGGAGTTGCTACAAAGTGAACTGGTGGCATAATACGTCTATCTCTGCAGACGCACGGCGTTCTTTGCGGTATTACTGAAGTGTTTGCTTGTAGCGTCCTATGGCCTGGCGCGTGTGTTGACTAGGAATCATCAATGGAACGAAAACATACTATAAAATAACAATGCAAGATATAAGTAATATGCAGCGACTGTGAATGATAAAATCAAAGAGCACGTGGTTGGCTCTCCCACTGTGCCTTCACCTGCGGTCGCCAAAGGGCTAGAAACTTGGTTCGGCTAATTTGGCACTAGCGCGTACTAAGGCCGCGCCCGACTCCTCTTCTCTCTCGCCGCAAAGATTCCTGCTACCTGGACAGACAGCCACGGCGCGACCAACTCAGCTGCTGTATTTCTTGCCTTCGCCATTCCACATCTTGTTTTTCCTGTCCCTGCATCTTCTCTGACCTTACTACTAATCTTCTGGTAACGCGCAGCCTGCCATGGCCGCTCCTCCAGATCTCAACGCCATCCTGGCGGCTCTTGGTACGTTGGCTCGCAAACTGGAGTTGCCGCAGCCCGCGCATATACTGACTTTTCACCCAGCCGCCGGCCGACCGTCGACCACACCATCCCAGACACCCCAACAGGCTCCGCCTGCACAGCATCCCCCTCCGCAAGCCCTGCCACCAGGCTTCCCTGGCGCAATGCCTACTGCCACCCCGCCAGCCATGCCGGGCTACAGCTTCCCACAACCCACACACTCTGGCAGTCTTGACCTTAGTGCTATCAAGCCCGTGAGCTCTGGGTCTGTAAGCATCCAGGATGCGCTGGCAAAGGCGCGCGGTTTTGCAGCCCAGAAAGGCCTTGCCCATGAAGCAGCGCGCCCAGGTATTGCTGAACCTTGGTCTGGTTATGGTGTCCCAGCGCAAACTTACACGCCTCCAGCTTACCAAGAAGACCCGCGCCTCAGTGGGCGTCAGCCCTACAGACGTTCTCGGTCGCGTTCGCGCTCTCCAGCGCGCCGAGAACCCGTGCGTGAAAGCTACAATCCATACCGCGATGAGCGTCGTGATGAGCGCCGAGGCGGCTATGGTCGTGAACGTGATCGCTCGCCCCCTAGACGTGACACCTTCTCTCCCGCCCAGCAATACGGGCAGGCTCGTTCGCCCCCTGCCAATGATAACTCTGAGGTGATTCTCATTGACTCTTCGTTGGTTGGTCTTGTCATTGGACGTCAAGGTGAGAGTCTCCGCCGCATTGAACAAGAATCCCAGACACGTATTCAATTCATCAACGGCCCCGAATCTGGACCTCAGCGCGAATGCCGTATAACTGGCAGTCCTGGTGCTCGTATCAGTGCCAAGCGCGAGATCAACCGTATCATCGAAGAGAATGGTGGAAACCCTGCTCGTGAGACTGGCCGCAATGCTAGGCCTACCGCAAAGACGGTCGGCCAGCAACAACCGGCTCTTAGAGAAGGCGAACAGTCGTCGCAGATTATGGTGCCCGATCGAACCGTTGGTCTCATCATCGGCCGCGGTGGTGAGACTATTCGTGATCTGCAAGAACGCAGTGGCTGCCACGTCAACATCGTTGGTGAAAACAAGAGCGTGAACGGTCTGCGTCCTGTGAACCTCATTGGAAGTCCTGCTGCTGCTGCCCATGCCAAGGAACTCATCATGGAAATTGTCGATAGTGACACTAAGCAAATGGAAGGCACCGGCAACCAACAGCCGCCGTCGCAGCAACCTTTCAACAACAGACGTGACAATTTTGATCCCTACGGCGCTGGTGCTGGTGGCGTCGGCGCTGGCAAGATCAATGATAGCATTCATGTTCCATCTGACGCTGTCGGCATGATTATTGGCAAAGGTAACATGTGCTGATATCTGTTATGCGATGATTATACTAACAGGAACCTAGGCGGTGAAACCATCAAATCCATGCAGTCCGAAACTGGCTGCAAGATCAACGTTTCGCAAGCATCTGGCGCTGATATCGAGCGCGAGATTGGCCTCGTTGGAACACGTCAAGCCATCGATGATGCCAAGCGAGCAATTTGGGAGAAGGTTGATCAAGTGGTACGTTTGTTCCGAGTTTGGTCATGTTTATACGATACTAACTGAACTCAGCGGGAAAAGAACAACTCGCGCCGACGTGATAATGGCAACCAGGATAATGGCTACTCACATCAACAGACACCATCATATGGACAGGCTGCTGCGCCTGCACAAGCCCCGCAAGCCGCTGCCCCTGCTGCAGGTGGCGCTGCTGCTGACCCGTATGCCGTTTATGGCGGCTACCAGAACTACCTGGCAATGTGGTATGCATCCATTGCTCAGCAACAACAAGGCGGCCAAGGTGCCCAAGGACCCCCAGGCGCATAGTCGCCACCTAGTCGCTGTGACCGATGCATATCTTGCTGAACTTCGCCGAGCCCTGCATGTTTGCATGACCAATGCTTGGATCTTTGCTGCCTGGCATGATTACTATACCCGATTTTTCTGGACCTATTTTGTTCGACTTCTTGATCTGCGCATACCCGATGTTTTCATGACTTGCGGATGACACATTTGCACTTCATGCTCCTCCAACCACTGGCTGTCCTCGAGCATACTGTCTACGACGGTGTGGCTTTTGACTATGCTTACAAAGGGACACCATTACCGTCGCTGCTTTGCGTGAGCCGAACATCGATTGATCTATGCCTGCCGTATGGATGACTATTGCGAGCTCCCCAGTCCTTGGGTTACATCGATAGCTGTGCGTTCATGTTATCATTTCCACATGATGATCGACGGTGCGTCGTTGCGGTTTTTCGAGAGTATCTTGCAAAGCCCACCGTTTACCTATACGTCTGCTGTCTAATTGCGTCTATCATGAGCCCGCCCCTCACCCCCGGCCCATCCATTATTATAAGGACATCTCGCAATATTCCCCTGGATTTCCTATCAACAAAAGCGTTTACTGCCTTAATGCACGTACCTCATCGTACGTAGACTTGCATTCGATCGCCCTCTGCAGATCACTGGGTGTGACTTTGGAGTTCGTTTCCAGCCGTCAACAGAGACGTGCGAGCACGTGGTGCATATACCTGAGCTGCATAGGCCCTTCTTGTTTCTCTGTCCTGTACAGTACTAGTATTATACTATCAAAAATGGAGCCCTTGCAGTGTGCAATTAGCTCTTCCACAAAAATCTTTCTTCTTCGTATCCTCCTATGCTTTCCAATGTGATATCGCCAGTGACATACCAGTCCTCGCCGACAATCCCGTCTATATTATCATGAACGGACTTCGCCTCTTGTAGTGGCACAACAGGCCAAATGCTAAATCTAGTCACTGCTCACGTGCAATGTCGCTGAGCCGCGGGGTGGGGCAGGGATGGAGGGGCAGAGGCGCGAACGACGGCCATCGGCGACCTCCTGCGTGGACCCTCTGCAGCTGGAACGCGTCCCGAGATAAGATATAATTATGTCGACGCTGATTCGTGCGTCTGCAAGGTGATTTATGGACTACATTACCCAACTGACTGCTTTTAGCTTTTGATATAGCCCGCCGAGGTAACTGTTTCTTGCAGGACTATATTGTCCAACTTGCTCTCCGCTCGTTCCCCACATCGTCAGGACAGAGACTCTAGGCATTTCTGTAACTAGCTGGGCCAGCCTGCGATTGATCTTGTGATACGCTTGCGTTTACTTGCTCCATTCTTCTTATTTTTTCTTTTCTTTTTTTCCCCATCTCTTACTCCGTTTACCCTTGCGCTTTGACGCTTCTTCTTCCCCTCTTCCCCTCTTCCTTTGCCACATCAGTGCAGCGTGGCAACCATGGCACCGGGAATCGTTACACCACAGCCTGCAGTGTCGAACGAAGCGACGAAGTCGCTTAACGAGGTTACCGCGGACTATGATGATACGCTTCGATTCTACCTGAATGGAACAAAAGTCGTACTGGACAGTGCGGACCCCGAAGTCACGCTGTTGGAGTATCTGAGGGGGATTGGGTTGACGGGGACCAAATTGGGATGCGCAGAGGGTGGGTGTGGTGCATGTACAGTGGTATGTTTTGTTGGTCTTAAGAGAGGGGACAGAGCCTACTCTAGAGATCTTTCAAGATTTTGAGAAGTTAGTGCTAGCAGCAACCAAGAGAGCTGACAGTTTGCTAGGTTGTGTCACAGCTTAACCCGACCACGAAGAAGATATATCACGCCTCCGTAAACGCATGCCTTGCACCCCTCGTCAGCGTAGACGGCAAACACGTAATAACTGTCGAAGGAATTGGAAATGTAAAGCGACCGCATCCAGCGCAGGAACGGATAGCAAAGGGCAATGGCAGCCAGTGTGGTTTCTGCACACCGGGTATTGTCATGTCCCTGTATGCTCTGCTTCGTAACAATGTTGAACCCACTGAGCTCGAGGTGGAGGAGGCTTTCGATGGCAACCTTTGCAGATGTACCGGATACCGACCGATATTGGACGCAGCACAAAGCTTCAGTGTACAGTCTGGATGTAGCAAGGCAAAAGCGAATGGTGGCGGTGGATGCTGTATGGAGAAGAATGGAGGAGGTGGTGGAGGTTGCTCTCAGAAAAATGGAGCAGATGGAGAAGAGCAGCCGATCAAAAGGTTCACACCACCTGGATTCATCGAGTATAAGCCTGACACAGAGTTGATCTTTCCCCCGCAATTATGGAAACACGAGTTTAAGCCGCTTGCATTCGGAAACAAGAAGAAGAGGTGGTACCGGCCAACGACCCTACAGCAACTCCTGGAAATCAAAGACGCCTATCCGTCAGCAAAGCTCATTGGTGGTTCGACAGAGACGCAGATTGAAATCAAGTTCAAGGGCATGAACTACAATGCGTCGGTATTTGTCGGCGATATTCCAGAGCTGCGCCAGTTCAAGTTGAATAACGACCACATCGAGATTGGCGGAAACGTTGTCCTAACGGATCTTGAAGAGATTTGCAAAGAAGCTCTTGAACACTATGGGCCAGCCCGGGGCCAGCCTTTTGCAACCATCCTGAAGCAGATCCGGTATTTTGCTGGAAGGCAAATCAGGAACGTGGGTACGCCAGCGGGAAATTTGGCCACAGCGAGTCCCATCTCGGATCTTAACCCAGTGTTTGTTGCTACAAATGCTACGCTTGTTGCTAGGAGCCTCAAAGAAATCAAGGAAATTCCCATGTCGACTTTCTTCAAGGGCTACAGGCAAACCGCCCTACCGCCGGATGCGGTTATTGCGGGCTTGAAGATTCCGATTGCAAAGGAGAAGGGCGAGTACATCCGCGCGTATAAGCAGGCAAAGAGAAAAGACGACGATATTGCGATTGTGAATGCGGCATTGAGGATCTCCTTGGACGAACAACATACGGTTGAGAGCGTGGATCTCGTATACGGCGGCATGGCACCGACGACAACACATGCCCGAAAGGCAATGGAATTCCTTCAGGGCAAGAAATTCACAGAGCTCAAGACTTTGGAAGGGGTTATGGATCAGCTTGAGCAGGATTTTGACCTGCGATTTGGTGTGCCAGGTGGTATGGCGACATACAGGAAGTCTTTGGCTCTCAGTTTCTTCTACAAGTTCTATCACGAGGTACTGGCTGAGCTGCACGCTGAGGAAGTCACTATTGACACTCAGGCCATTGGAGAGATTGAAAGAGATATCAGCAAGGGGAAGAGGGATGAAAAGGCTGCGGAGGCGTACATTCAGAATGAGGTTGGTCAGTCGAAGAACCATGTTGCTGCGATGAAGCAGTGCACAGGTGAAGCACAGTACACAGACGATATACCTCTGCAACGGAACGAGCTCTACGGATGCCTGGTGCTCTCGACCAAAGCACATGCGAAGCTGCTGTCGGTAGATGCGGATGCTGCACTGGAATTGCCAGGTGTTGCCGCGTACGTCGATCACAGAGACCTAGCTTCGCCTGAAGCCAATTGGTGGGGAGCACCAGCTTGTGACGAGACATTCTTCGCGATCGATGAAGTCTTCACTGCAGGCCAGCCCATTGGTATGATCGTTGCCGACACAGCTAAGCACGCAGAGCAAGCAGCACGAGCAGTGAAGATTGAGTACGAGGAACTCCCAGCTATTTTCACGATCGAGGAAGCCGTTGAACAGGAAAGTTTCTTCAATCACTTCCGTCACATCAAGAAGGGTAATACCGAGAAGGCGTTTGCTGAGGCCGATCATGTCTTCACTGGCGTCGCGCGTATGGGTGGTCAAGAGCACTTTTATCTCGAAACTCAGGCGTGTCTGGCTGTTCCAAAGCCTGAGGATGGCGAAATGGAAATCTTCAGCAGTACACAAAACCCTGCTGAGACTCAAGCCTACGTGTCCAAAGTGGTTGGTGTTGCTGCGAACAAGATTGTCACTCGTGTCAAGCGCATGGGTGGTGGTTTTGGTGGCAAGGAGACGCGCTCAATTCAGCTCGCTGGTATTGTAGCTTGTGCAGCAAACAAGGTCCGCAAGCCTGTACGATGCATGCTTAATCGAGATGAGGACATTGCGACATCTGGACAACGCCATCCCTTCCTGGGTCGGTGGAAAGTTGGTGTCAACAAGGACGGTAAGATTCAAGCCTTGGATGCAGATGTCATTTGCAACGGCGGTTGGAGTCAAGATCTCTCTGGCGCAGTTGTTGAGCGCTCACTTTCCCACATCGATGGTGTCTACTCGATACCGAATATTCACGTTCGCGGCCGTGTCGCAAAGACGAACACCGTCTCTAACACAGCGTTCCGTGGCTTCGGTGGTCCGCAGGGCATGTTCATTGCTGAGACATACATGGAAGAGATTGCCGACCATCTCAAGATTCCAGTCGAGCGACTAAGAGAGATCAACATGTACTCACCCGAAACGAACATGGTCACACACTTCAACCAGGAGATCAAAGATTGGTATGTGCCGCTGATGTACAAGCAAGTGCAGGAAGAATCCCTTTACGCACAGCGCCGTCAAGAAATCGAAGAGTGGAACAAGACGCACAAGTGGAATAAGCGCGGTCTTGCGATTGTTCCGACCAAGTTTGGTATATCATTCACTGCCCTTTTCCTGAACCAAGCCGGTGCACTTGTACATATCTACCACGACGGAAGTGTCCTTGTTGCGCATGGTGGTACGGAGATGGGACAGGGACTGCACACCAAGATGGTACAAATTGCTGCTCAGACGCTCGGCGTACCACTCGAAGATGTGTTTATCAGCGAGACTGCCACAAATACTGTTGCGAACACTTCGTCTACAGCAGCGTCAGCATCCTCTGATTTGAACGGTTATGCCATCCACAATGCGTGTGTACAGCTGAATGAGCGCCTGGCCCCATTCAAGGAAAAGCTAGGACCCAAGGCGACCATGAAGGAGCTCGCTCACGCCGCGTATTTCGACCGTGTAAATCTCTCTGCTCAAGGCTTCTACAAGACACCAGACATTGGCTACGTCTGGGGCGAGAACAAGGGACAAATGTTCTTCTACTTTACCCAGGGTGTTGCTGCTGCCGAAGTCGAAATCGATACATTGACCGGTGACTGGACGTGCCGCCGCGCGGATATCAAGATGGATGTCGGCCGCTCCATTAACCCAGCTATTGACTATGGTCAAATTGAAGGTGCTTTCGTACAGGGTCAAGGGTTGTTTACGACGGAGGAGTCATTGTGGTTGAGGGGAACAGGCAATATTGCAACAAAGGGACCGGGTAACTACAAGATCCCCGGGTTCAGAGACATTCCGCAGGAGTTCAATGTCAGTTTGCTCAAGGATGTGAACTGGGAGAATCTCCGGACCATCCAGAGGAGTAGGGGTGTTGGTAAGTTCTCTTTTCTTTCTTCCATGAGTCATGCTTCCTCAGAAACGGGATTGCTAACTACAATAAACTACAGGTGAACCACCACTCTTCATGGGCAGCTGTGTCTTCTTTGCAATTCGCGATGCTCTCCGGTCTGCTCGCGCAGAGTTTGGCGAGACTTCTGTTCTACACCTCACTTCTCCTGCTACGCCTGAGCGCATTAGGATCAGCTGTGCCGATCCCATTTTGAAGCGCGCGTGGGTGGAGCCTAAGGAGGGCGAGAAAAGCTTTTTCATCAGCATTTAGTCGGTTTTTTTGGTTGTTGGATCTATTTTACGAAACTGGAATGTGTGGTGTTTAGGAATCATGTATGGTATACGAAATCGCATGAATGGAGTCTTGATGAATACTTCGCACAACGTAAATTTGGCCACAAACGCACAAGTGCACGCACATGTAAAGGGTCCTCGGCATCGAGATCAGATTATCGATGTTGTGGAGTCAGGGCAAGGGTGACGGAAATGGAATGCAGATGAGATCGCGCTAATCGCAGCCGATCGCCCCGAAGCCGATCCCGCAAGACGAACCATCGTCATAACGCGAACATCAATTCGATGACGTCGTGGCGAGCTCGACGCGTTTAGCCCATGATGGCGCTGAAAGAGCAAAATTGCTCGTTTCAGCCCCTTCCTTTTCGCATTCGCTGTTTAAAGTACGGAAGTACACCAACAATCCCAGGCACATGCTACGCTCTTTTCCTCGCAGCATCAGCCTTCGTGTCGCCTGCCGAACTACACGATTACTTTGTGCGCCACCCTACCTACAGCTTTCAAGCGTAATTTCTTCTCCTTTTCCCACTATGCCTCCTAAGAGGAAGAGGTCCGCCGTGGCGAGTACGCCGTCTACAGTGGACAGTCCTGCGTTAGCCATGGATATATCACAAATTCGCAAGACGGAAGTGCCTTTGCCACCAAATGTATCGAAGCTACCGCGTCGCCAATCGTCTCGTGGCGTTAAAGCTGAAAAGACGGATCCTACTGTTAATCCCGAGATTCTTGATGGGGCAGCTGCGTTACGAGCATCTCCTGATGGACATGAAGACGCACCGGTAGACTCCGTTCTGAAGCCTCCTGTCAGCGACGCGCCTGTAGCTTCTGCTACGAATAAAAAGAGAAAGAATGCTGGTGCGCAAAAGGTCAAGGTCGAGGAGGAAGAGGAAGATACCAGTGTCAAGATGTCCAATGGCGTTGTTGATCCTGCAACCGATGCTGGTGTTCCTGGTGACCCTGAAGATGCTGAAGGCGCAGAGGGTGAGGAGGGCGACGAGGCAGAGTTCAAAGAAGCTTTGTCAAGACCTCCACCGGTCAACTCCTCATATCTCCCTCTTCCATGGAAAGGACGGTTAGGCTATGTATGTATTCTACAGATACTAATTAATATAAGCTAACAGATTCCCATACAGGCTTGTCTCAACACATACCTTCGAAGCTCAAATCCTCCTGTCTTCAGCTCCAGGACATGTCGTATTGCGAGTATCATCGAACATCGTCATCCTCTAAAAGACCCGTCTCAGCCGGAGCATGCTACCAAAAACCGCCCTGATAAGGATCAGCCAGCAGATATCGAGCGTGGTATGAAATATGTCGAAGAGATAGGCCTTGCCAATGCGCGAGATGTGAGCAAGATGGTGCGCTGGAACGACAAGTACGGCATCAAATTTATGCGACTGAGCAGTGAGATGTTTCCCTTTGCGAGTCACGAGGAATATGGCTACAAGCTTGAGCCATTCGCCGCTGAGACACTTCAAGAAGTGGGCAAAGTGATTGCAGAGCTGGGCCATCGAGTAACTACACATCCAGGACAGTTCACTCAGCTGGGATCACCGCGAAAGCAGGTCATCGACAATGCTATGAGGGATCTTGAGTATCACGATGAGATGCTTTCTCTCTTGAAGCTACCCGAACAACAGAACCGTGATGCAGTCATGATTCTGCATCTTGGAGGAGCCTATGGCGACAAGCCGGCTGCGATTGAGAGGTTCAAGGAGAACTATGCGAGGCTTCCTCAGAGCGTCAAGAATCGACTGGTGCTTGAGAACGACGACGTTGTCTGGTCGGTACACGAGCTGCTCCCTCTATGTGAAGAGCTCAACATTCCATTTGTGCTGGACTATCATCATCACAATATCATTTTCGATGAGACACAGATCCGCGAGGGCACAAAAGATATCATGGAACTCTACCCGCGCATACTCAAGACATGGCAGAGGAAAGGTATCACACCCAAGATGCATTACTCGGAGCCTACGCCTGCAGCCATCACTCGCACTACACGAAGAAAGCATTCACCGCGTGTCATGACCTTGCCTCCTTGTCCAGATACCATGGACTTGATGATCGAGGCAAAAGACAAGGAGCAGGCAGTGTTTGAGCTTATGCGGACTTTCAAACTTCCAGGGTTTGACACATTCAACGACATCCTACCTCACACACGACAGGATGAAAATAGACCATGGAAACCTAAGGCGAAGAAGGCTGCGACAAAGGGAAGAAAGAAGAAGACGGACGATCTTGACGACTTGGATGCAAAGATTGAAGACGCTGAGGAAGAGGACAAGCCGCCACCAGTGGTTCCAGAGGAGGAGGTAGGCATGGGAGGACCAGAGGGACGAGTGTACTGGCCTCCAGGAATGGAGGACTGGCTCAGACCCCCAAAACGCATCATCAAGAAGAAGGACGAGGGCGCGGCCACGCCCGCGAAGAAGAAGCGTAAGACGGCAGGTGACGCGGGGTCTGTAACGAGTGAGATTGCTCCACCTGAAGATATCAAGACGCCCGTGAAGACGGCGGCCAAGAAAGCCACGAGCAAGGTTAAGCGGGGTGTAGCAAAGGCTACCACTAGCAAGAAGAAGACGGCCCCGAAATCAGCGCCAACACCGTCAGCGTCTGACGAGGACGACGAAGACGAGCTTAGCACACCTCCAATTAGCGACGTAGGCACAGACGAGGACGATGCTCCTGCCGTGCAGAAGCGAAACGCACGGCCTGCGCCGACACGGAACAAGTCTGCCAGGGCCACGGCTCGCATTAGCTACAAAGAGGAGGAGGCAGACGAGATAGGCCCGTAGTCTTGGGTAAAAAGCTAAGAAATTGAAGATAGATGTATTACTGCCCGAAAACAATGCCAAAGAAGAATACATCATCAATAAAGAATGAATGCTCATTTTGGGTAATCATGCTCCGTTGGGAGGGTGAGCGTGAGGGGAGCGTAGACATCGGTGTTTGTCATGGATTATTTACTATTGGAAAAGAAAATGACGAACAAGGCGGGATACCATGTACATAGAATTTGTTTCGTCCGAAAACGATGAGACCAAGCAAAAGCATGTGAGTGTTGTTAGTGTGTGTGTGGCCGGTACTTTGTCAAATTGGGGCGGGTGGGTGTCCAACAAGAGAGAGAGAGAGAGAAAAACCTCCGAAACAACAATTGTTGTGCCCTGCTCAATCCTTCCCTTCCCGCTTCAGGCCGTTATGCCGTCCCCCCCCCTTCCCCCGCAACACCCCTCTTTGGCACTTGACCCTCCACTACGACTCTCCCAAACGCCGCTTGTTGTACCTCAAGTCATGTGTGAGTGAGTAAATGCGAGTGCAAGTGTGTGTGTGTGCGCCTCTCATCTCCCCCGTTCCTGACACTGAATTCATGCAATCTCCACACCACCACCCCTTTCCCTTCCTTCCGTATCCTCTCTCCCACTACCGTTTTTTTTTCTTAGCGAAACTTACCAACTAAACTCGCGCATGCCTTATCTTTTTTTTTTGCCTTGTCTTGTCTTCCATGCGTTCCGCGCACGTGTGCCTGCGTGGGGAGAGAGAGAGAGAGAGAGAAAAGGTAGGTGTTGCTGGCTATCTAGGCACCTTCCCAATGCAGTCAAGTTTCGCTTGCGTGTGTGTGTGGAAAGGCGCTTGGTGAACATGAGTTCGTTTGGGCTGGATCAGGGGCGGTGCGCTGTCGCAGGGGTTTTGTAAAAGGAAAAGGTGAGAGGAGTAGGTTTGGGGAGGGGGTGTCTGCTGGCACTTGGCTGGTTGTATGTGTGTGTGTGTATGCCTTGCTGCTTGGAACCCCACAAGGTGGTGGTGAGTTGTTCAAGGTAAGTTTGTATGGTAAGGGTATGTACCGGAGGGGTGGGAATACAAGAACATGTGCATGAATTGGGGTTTTACATTGTAAAAAAAGGGTAATTTCATTCGCAGCTAGGTGCATAATTATTTCTATTTCAAGTACATGTTTGTTTGATTTACTTTATTTATTTTATGTATGATGGTAGTTGGTAGGTGGTGTTGTTTGTTGGACCTCCGCTCGTCTACTATCTCACTTCCCCTCACCTTTCCAACGGAGATGCACAGAACGCAAGTGGCTTCAAGCCACCGACGCACACCATAAGATTCCAGAACCGCCATAGAAAAATGCCCAAGCCGCTGTTGTGCCGCACCACCCGGTGCTTGCCGCAGCATGCCGTGCATATTCCTTCCTTTTCTTCTTCTTTATCGCGGATGTGCATCCCCCACGCTCTGATGGCGGATGGAAGAGGCGGGAGAAGGGTGTGGGAAGGAGACGGCAGGGCGGCACTCGTACAAGCGGCTTTGCGATGGTGGCTTCTCACCTGCTGCAGTAGTGAATACATGAGTCGTTTGGGCGAGGAGGAGAGGGGTGTGTAGGTGTGTGGGGGAGGTGGAGGTGGTGGAGGGACGGGCTACGGGATGTGTGCGTGCATTCGTGCGTGTACATAGAAGCAGAAAAGCGAGGTGTGGGTGAAGGGGGAGGGGGGCGCGATTAGTCTGGCTGCCGAGTGTACCATACGAGAGAGAGAGACAAGTCAGTACAGTACAGAAGGTGTGAGCGGGTGAAGCAGGCACAATCACATTGCATAAAGGGAGCTATCGATTAAGCTATTGATGCAGATGTAGGATGATGCCGATGTAGGTGCGCGTAGAGTCGTGAGTGGCTGTGTTACTGTGTGTGGGGGGTAATCGGCCTTCTCCCAGGACGTGTTCGGAGGACATGGTTGAAAGAGAGAAGGTGAGTAAGGCATAATCGCGGGTGGCGTGCGAAAGCAAGACCGTCTGGAAAGTTACTTTGATGGGTATGGGTTCAGGTACCAAGTTTTTCTTTCGTAAAAAGTGCGAATGACGGGGTGGATGGAGAGTATGGCGACATGACATGGCGGAAGGATTCCATGGTGTTTGAGCAACAAGACGCTTATCTGTGGGTATCACTATGGGGGTTTCTGGTAGGATTTGCTCGTATTCTGCTGTACATCCGTTAGCCAAACGTCATGGCATTCTCACGGTGTATTCTATTTTTTTTCGTCCGCCAATCACCGCCAGTCAAAGGACTTCCAGAAGTTTGGTCCTGGTGGGCGCAGGTCTCAAGGCCTGCCTAAACCCCTTTGACAAGTTTGACAGCGTTCGCGCAGGGTCTCATGTGTGTGTCAGTCAGTCGTTCAAACCAGTCGATCAGTCAGTGATTGTCGTGTCATTGTTTTCTCCGAGCTTCGTTCGAGACACCAAAAGGTGACTGCTTGGACATTGTGGCCTAGAGTTAATATCAAAGCTCGTCGATCATCGATCATCGAGCGCACGAGGATCTAGCCCTCGTCTATGGCACAGGTGCCTCTCTGTGTGCAGCTGAGCAGACAGCGACTTGTAGCTTTCCACAAGCGGTTTACCTCCCGCGGCTACATATCTGCACGTTATCTGCACAGCCTTGTACGAATTGAGCTTCATGCCCGTACCATGTATGTGGACTCTCGAATCGAACATTCGGTGCACTAGTGTTGCAAGCTATCCTTGAGTTACAAAATCGCGTCTAGAAAGGGATTGCATTGGCCGACGAGGTGTTGACGGGCTATGCTGGAGCGGCCGCGATCAGAGACAAGGGCCCGTCCTAGTTGTTCGGGCGGAATGTTATTGCGCCGGTCGCCCGCCCAGAGGCCGTAACCATTTCCTTTGGCAACAACATGTATGTGGGGACCTAAGGCTGTCCTAAACAACAACAGGCGGTGTGGCGTGATCTCACAGCAATGGGTTTTACGGGCGTAAAAAAAGAAGGCTACGGCGGTTGGAGCGCAGACCAAGGATGGCAGACTTCCAAGAGATTTGAGCCGCGCAGAGTAATGGCTGTTTGGAATGCCGGCCCCATTAAGACTACTACGTGCGTTTGCGCTTGCAGCTTGGCTGACAACAACCGCGACTCTTGGACACAGCACACGCATTTATGCATACAGGTAGAGAGGTGAGTGAACGGGTTGTTCTACAGAACCTGCATATGTGTGTATGTAGGTCAAGTTGAGATGGGATGGTAAGGAGCAAGGACCACCACTGATAAGGGTGGGCATGACGGAGAGTGAACCGCAAATATCTACGCGAGAGGTCTGAGCTTCAACGGCCTTGTTGCAAAACGGCAGGCCATAGCTCAACCATTTAGAGTCTTTTTTTTCTGCTCTGTTATCGGGGCGCGCTGAAAATGATGCCATTAGAATTATCTTGGCTCAGTGACGGAGAAGATCCGGTATCCACATGACAGCACTTGAGATTAGAGGAGGTTGGACGCCTGCTGTTGTCCTGCACAGTATAGTAAAGTAAGTATACGAGGAACGAGGAAGAGGAAATTACTATACACTCATCTTTCAACAAACGAGTAACCAATTGGCAATCAGTAAACTAATTCTAAAAAAAAATACACTTTACGAGGTCGAGTCGTGTGCTTGGCGTCCTCGTTTTCTGAGTGAAAGATATCTCCCAAGCAGTCTGTGCTCAATCTATCAGCTGGCATGACGACACGATTGCACAGACATGTTTGTTTTATCCCGAGCTGTGGTGACATCGTGTGCCCTGGCTGGGGGAGTGTATTGGAGCTGCAAACGGCATCTTCACATGCTCCCTTTGTGGTGTCTTGTCTGCCGACTCACTAGGGGAACGTTAGACTCGGGACAATATCGCCGCGAGTTTACACGACTAGTATTTGGCATCTGATATAGTACATAGGCCCATTTTCTCATATTGCGGAATTTGCCTTCTCCGGCTGAGAGTGCAAAGAGTCCGGATGCGTTGCCGAAAGTGGAGGCATACCAAGACAGAAGCAATTTTGGGTCGGTGTTGTCGCGGAGAGACCAGGCGCGTTGATGTCAAATTTGGCTCTGGATGATTATGCGCCGGCGACGCGCCTTCACGTTATCTGATATTACTTTGCCACTGCGGCCATTGCGTCACTGCAGCCAGCCAGACAATTCAGCAAATGGCTCTTTTGATGCCTGCATTCTTCGCCCGGCTCGCTCGAGGACGAAGATGTAGTTGCCGAAGGCTGCCGTCGGGCCTTTTTGTTTTTGTGGGCTTTTTTTTTCTTGCAATGGCCCGCCCCGAGATCTTGCCTCATGAGGCGTGCAAGTGGCCCCACGTCGGATCGCAACGTGATGACTCGGTAATGTACTACTTACTATCAGAATGGGCACACATGCACCCTCTGGCGGCTATACGCATCCATAGGCCTGTTTGGTGGTTATGGAGCGAGCACCACATGACGGTAAAAATCCAGTGTTACGTACACGATTGCTTCCCCGGATTTGCCATGCGAGACATTGAAGGCCCAAAGGACGAACCCTTTTGGCACTAGACCAATGGCACAATTGGGCCTGACGGCCGGCGCGGAGTTGCCAAGAACCCTTCTGAGCGCATGGCGTAACCAAGTGCGCTCAAGCTAGCCCTATTGCTAATCTCATACTGGCTCTTGTTGTATACGCAAATAACAGGTTGCCAGAGACATGTAACGTTCCCTTAACATTGCGATCTTCATTGCTAACCACCAAGGCTGCACGTTGGGCCAGCCAGTCGGTCTCGCCGGTATGGCATTCAATGCTTTTTCCCAACCCCCACGCCTCAAATACCAGGTACCTACGTACTCGCACTATTTTTAAGGCACGCTTTGACCGACAAACGCGTCACACGTTCTGGGATGCAATTGGCCACCTACTACGGGCACTGCAATTCCGCTTTCACCGAGTGCAACACCCAGGCGAAACATCTTGGCCTTGGATACATGTCTCGTAACGACGTTTCCTGTTGGCTGAAACCCGTCCACCGCGGAGATTGGACCACTTAGTCCAACAATGCGATGGTGTAGAGGAGGCCCTTCTCCTGAAATCTGGCCATGTACAACAGCGGGGTACGCAACCAACACTGAGGCAGTGAGATGCGCGGAGGGCGTGTAAGCCACCATGTTTGCTTCTCTTTTGGTGTCTTGCCCCGTCGATATGAATCACATACCCCTTGGTATCTTCTTCGGGGGAAGCAGGGTGCCGTGTGCTAGTACCAATGCATCGCTAACTCTTCCCACCCCCGCAAACATCAAGTCCAGGCTATATGTCGCTACGAGTCGATATTGATATACCCAACGACAGTCGCAGCGAATGAGGTAATGGCATGTGCTACCGAGGTGACTTCCCCGCCTAGCCCGAAAATAATATCGTCCCAGGTGGTAGCATCGACTGGTGGTGGTAGTGGTGGATGATGATGCCCGGTACCTGGCAGAGATCACCGTAGATCTCTTTTTTGCGGGCAAGCTGAGCCGGAGTGCGCGAGCCTGTGTAGTGTAGGTGCGTGCGTGTACGTGTGTACGAGCCTCACTCTCAGCCTTGTGGTACGGTACGCTTGGGGCATGTGGCATCCATTCTCAGCCTCAGCAATGGCAGCTGGAAGAGGCGGCAAACCTACCATTTTCCGAACAAAACCACCGAAAAAGTTTCAAAGAAGCACGACATGGGGCTGGGGGGTGTGGAAGGGGGAGGGGGGGTCCCCTCCCCTGTCGTACGGGTGTGACTGGGTTCCGTGGAAACTGTTCATGGGCGGCTCCGGATAGAGGTCGTGCCCCGCCTCTCGCCTATGGGTTGGCCAGCCCAAGCAACTCGAGTTGTCAGCAATCAGCGTTAGAGTTCAAGAGGGGTGGACACAACCGATATGCGTCCCCGTAAACCCTGATCGTCGCGAACACCTTGGTGCGCCTAGGAGCAGTAGTGTAGCTGACATGATGTGCGCCATCAGCTAGAGCTTGCCTGCTTACCCTCTGTACATCCTGACTGGCCGACCCAGTCCATGACGATCTCAAAGAGCCAAGAATCCACGACGACGAGGGCACGCGGTCCTACGGCTGTATTTGATGCAGATCGGACGTTGCATGTGGCGCCCCGTCTAGCAGAGTAGTCTCACACTCCCACAAGCATCCGCACACACCCACATCCACACCCGTCACGCAACACGACGGATCTGCGTCGTCATGCACTACCATGGCTGACCGGCAACTGCGCAAATCCTGTGTAGCTGCGCTTGGGGACCGCTGCGCTCAGGGCGTTTGCATCTACTACTACTACAGGTGCGTCGGCCATGATCACTTGCACAGCCTCGCATCGACGTGGGGACTGCATATGCGATGCTGGTCCAGAATCGCGATCCCAGCAACAACCACCCTTCATCTCGAACGTGGGGTCTGACTAGTAATACATTTTGTTGAACTCGTTTACTACGTATCTGAATATGCATCTACAAGCTTTTGCTCGATGCACTGCAGGCTTGCAACTTAGCCTGCCAAAAATAATCGCCCTTTGGAATATCGCTACACACAACATAGAGAAAAAAATAAACTCCTCACAGAGCCGAAAGCTGATTACATTTTCCACCCAGTCCATGCATGCCCAAACCCCCCAATCATAATGTTTTTCATGCACATTTCTTCGTCGTAGCCTTCGTACTGCTTGTATCCAGCAAGCTCAACCCAAATCAAATCACAATGTACTCCCCGTCCACACGATCCATGGCTCTCCTCCATCGGAACGGGTGCTGCACGGTGCTAAAAGGCCCGTTTTGCCTTGGCACGTGGACATCACCATCTGACCACTCGTCGTCCTCACGCCATACCCGCTCTAGCACTTCTAGCCCACTGAGATTGTTGAAGAAGCCGCTCTCACGTTGAATCTCCACGCATCGTTGTCGTACAACTGCGCGGTGCTCGGGATCAACGCACTCTGTGCCCACGATAAACAGTGGCCACAGGAGAAACTTGTTGACGCAGCTCGTCATGCCAATCTGCGAAATGTGATAGAGCCCTTGCGCTACCAAGTTCTGGAAATTCAGTGACGATGGTGGAAGCGTCGGCTGCGCAAGGCGCTCAGTGTAGAGCAGTGCTGCATAGCGGAAGCTCTCGCTAATGTGGAGCAACGCAGCTTGCTCTGGAGACATGACAAGCATCGACGATGTTGCATCGCAGGAATTCGAATGCACTTCTCCAGGTGTCGGAAACTCCCACTCTTGCAGTCGAATCCGCAGATCGTTCCACTCAGTCCAGAACGCAGAGCGAGGATCGTCGCGAGCCGATGCGAAGGGATCGACATGGTCGTTAATAGGTGTGCCCCAACCATTACCGTCCATGTTGTCAAAACTAAAAGAATAAAAATCCTTGACCTTCTTAGGCCGTGGTGATGATGTAGGCGTGTCGTCGTTGTCGCGTACAGGCCGGTTCTGGCTGAGAAGGTTGAGCCTTCCAAGCCGAGCAATGAGTTTGAAGAGTCGGCCCTCGCAGCCAGAGTGGTGTTCTAGCGCACCCAGATTGGCGCTCAGATTCATCATGTCAAGCGAGTCACCACGGACTTCAATCTCCCGGTCGTTCACCGCTGCCGTCATGACATCGAACCAAGTGAAGAAGGTCTCAATCCATCCGACAAACTCCGACTGGATGCTCCGGTCGCGCAAGCTCAGAAGCTTCTGCACGCCTGCAAGCTGTGTCTTGAACTTTGTGAAGCCGGAGTCGCACACATGAAAGAGGCAGAGAATAAGAAGCGTGGCGAGTACAGAATCGTCCTGCGATCCATCAAAGTCGATCAGCTTCTTGTTGAGCAGAGTAATAGAGTTGGCCTTGTAGTGCTTCTCTTCGTCGGTCGCTTCGCCGTGCATCTCGCGCAACTCCTTGGCCGTCATTGATGAGTAGGCATGATCTGGTATCAGTCGTGTGTCGTGGAGCACGCTAACGCGGCGTCCCTCGATACCCCCGCGCATGCGCATGTTGTTCGTGGCCAAAGCGCCAATGGCATTCTGCAGCTCCTCATTCTGCATGGCCAAGTGTATTATGTGCATCCGGTAGGGGTTCTGTGGGCTGTCAAAAGCCACCAACACCGGGCATATAAATCTGTCGTAGTAGTCCAGGAGGAATAGCATCCGCGGGGAAAGAGGCGAAGCGATGGTAAGACTCTGGGGAATAGAAGTGGTGAGCGACAGTACGTCTTGAGACAGGGGGCCAGAGCCATAGGAAGACATACCCTCCGACGGGAGAAAGGAAAAGCCAGGCTGAAATCCATTGAAATTCGAGCTCATCTCTCCCTCGGTAAAAACATCTTGAAAGACGATAGGGCCCATGCTTTGCTGGGCCGTGCTGACTTCGGGATAGTCTTGTAGACTTTGATCCGAGCTTACACTGGAACTCATGTCATCCCCAGTGGGGAATGAGCGAGGGGCTTCGTTGAGGAAGTAGTTGTCCAGGGAGCCCATGGGGGCGTGGTCGTATGATGGGTAGCGTGGCATCGAGGGGTCTGCAAACGGGTACTCGTCGACTGGGGTGTTTGGGAACTCGCTTGGTGAGGGAAAGTCACTGTCGCTGTAGGTGCCTAGGGAGGCGGATGAAGCCGACATGCCGTTGTCTTCAAAAGGAACATGCAGTGTGGTCTGTAACCGTTGGAGAGGACCTCGATGGGGCTGGTGATGCCTGAACTTGGAAGCCTGTGGGTGCAGGAACTCAAACTGGTCTCGATGTTGCTGCATGGGGAAGCCCATTGGTGTAGAGGGGGTGGGGATGGGTATTGGGCTTGTGGGGCTGAAGTATTGGTATTCCTGTGGCGCCGAGTAGATGGGACTGGTAGGACTCCTCGGAGAGTGGGCGCCAAAGTCGATACTAGCTCGGTGGCCAAAGTGATGTTGATCTTGGTGGGAACTTGAGGAGACGGATGAGGTGCTAGTTGAAGCAATCGAGTTCATCCGTTGTGTCTTGGGTTCCTGTGTGGCAGTGGAGGGAGGAGACTTTGCAACGGGCAGAGTCATGCCACGAAGCTTTCCACGGCTAGCTACACCGACGCCCCATGTTAGAGTGGTACGGTAACCAGAGCATTCTTTTCCAATCTCAACACACTGTCCACAGTAGGGACGACGTCGATCACACTTGACTTGACGCTTCTTGCAGGCAAAGCAGTCTTCGGTGGCTCCAGTGGCAGGAGCTCTTCTTCTTCGCTTCCTTGGGGCGGCAGCAGCGGAGTTGTTGACTGTGGTAGCAGTGGTGGATGTTGTGGTGGAAGTGTTGGTGGTGGTGCCTTGGACTTTGTCTGCCTCGACGGGCTGGGTGGTGGCGGTAGCGGTAGTGGTGGAGGGAGAAAGGGCCATGGTGGAATAGGTATAAAAGAGGTGGTGTTATTGCGGTACTCTGCAATGTTGCATCTGCAGGATGTGGAGCGAGTATAGTATAGTGGGAGTGGAAACAGAATAGACAAAGACAGCGAGGGGTGCAGTAATGCTCAATGGAGCATAGAAGAAGCGCGTCACGGTGGGTAAGTATTATTTTGGCCTCGACAGGTCTGGGTAAAGGAAGCTTGGTCCCCGTCTGATAAGGTCAGGGCCCTAGCGGACAGGGCTTTGGCATGCCAAGGGAAGAAGGATGCAAAATGCCGCGGCATAGTGAACGCTAGGATATTAAGACCAGAGGTGGTCATCTCGAGAGCGATGTGCATGAAGGATGTGGCCTGCAGGGAGCAGGCCTGGTGCCCGCATGTTCTGGCAGCGGGCGCAAGGCTTTGGGCAGTGGCAACCCCTACCACACCCCACACCGGGACGGCGAATTGCAGCGACGGGGACAGCCAGGTCGGGTTACATCGTGGAAAAATGGTGGCACCCCGGCAGAAGCTTGACGGAGGATGGCGACAGAGGCCTGCTGCAGGACGGAGAGGGCTGGACGCCACGGAGGATCCACCAATCAGAGCGGCAGCGCCCCCCGATCTGCTACCGGCCGCTAAGGTCGGAGCAGCCAGGGCACGTCAGCCAGTGAGAGGGCACATGGTGCAGACGGGGGTGATGGTGGAGGTGGAGGGGAGGGGGTGAGGGCAAGGTGTTGAGTGGTCTGGCTGGAGGTGCTGCCGGCTGCTGCACCGCCAGCGCGCTGATAGCGTCAGGTCCAGCGCGGCCACTCGGGCGAATGACCTCGCGCAAGCGCTGTCGCGGAGCCGACCGAGGCCAGCCATCGAGTGTGCCGCCGTGTGGACGAAGACGCATCGAAGCCGTGTGGAAGAGGGCGGGTGGACGAGCAGACGCCGCCCGCGGTGAAGCCTTGCGCCAAGCGGGAGGGCGTGAACGGCTGGGCGAGCATACTACTTGTTTAGGCACTTGGGTGGATGGTGGCAGTAGGCGAGGCGGCGAGCGAGTGAGGGAGACGAGACGACGAGACGACGAGACAGCCTCTGGTTCGCCTGCTGGGCTGGCGTGCCGCTCGAGTGGTGCAATTTGAGGCCTGGTGCACGCGAGGGCCCAAAGCGAGACGTGCAACGGCGGGCGCGGATATTGCAATGACATCGAGGACCACGGCGGGCGTGCGGTCGTGTGCATCATGGCATGGTGCAGCGCTGCACGCAATGCCCGGGGGGTGCCATGGAACGGCGGATGGAGCCAGCCCAAGTGGCTGTTTGTCCGCCTGCTGTCCGCCTGCTGTCTGGCGCTCGTCAGGCTGGCAACGACAGGCAAGCAGGCAAGCAGAGCAGGCTGGCAATTCAAGGCCCGTTGGCGGTGGCCTTGGCACAAACCGCTGTGGTGGGCCCCGGTCGTGATGCCATCCATGATAACAGCCATGCGGGCCTGATGAGAGAGCGATATGACCATCGGCTTTCCGCCCTGCCGCCCTGCCGCCCCCACGGCCACTGGTGCTCTGCATCCACCAACATCATCGTTTTTTTGTCGCTGTCGTCAGGCACAACCAAGTCCCCAAAAAAAACACCATCGCCGGCCACTGCCACCCCGCTCCATGCTTACTCTCCTCTGCGCCGACGTGCTTGGCCCCCCCCTTGCCCCCTCTCTATCCTTCACCCTGCCACCCTTCACCCATCTCCGTGCAAAACACCGTCGCCCTGGCTCCGGCCCTCGTCCATCCCGCCCGCTGCACGTGTGCCGAAACTCTCTGCTAATAAGCAGCGGGGGGTGGCTAGTAGGCCAAAACAACGTCGTCCCGTCTGTTCCCAGATGCCGTTCGCCAGCCTTGTTCGTCAGCGTCAGCGACAGCGAATTGCGTCTTTTGACCGATTACCATGGTCTGCCTCAGGCTAGTCGCGCAGCCGGGCACGTGAGTGCCAAGGCCCACTTGCATCGGCGACATGCGCTCCTTTGGCATGTTGGCCTCGCTCCACCACTCAACGATTTGTCTCAGGTAACAAGCAACTCCAGACTGCCATCACCTGGTGGCTCTCCCTCCTGCTAGCCAAGCGACCTCTCGCAAACCACTCGTCGCTAGTCGCCCCTTCTGTGCCTGGCCAAATGTCCCTCGTCAATGCGCCTGCCCACCCAAGGCCTCCATACGCGGGGTAGAATATGGGGGGATACGATGCCACAGACCGCGTTTGCCCACTTGACCTGGGCGGGTCTGCCCTGCTACACACTATCTGCTGTATGTCTACTCGCTGCCTCCTCTGACGGCGCGCCTAGCGCTGGTCTGCCCTGCCCTGCCCGCCTGTCGCCCTTCACATAATTATGTACATACATATGTACTCCATGTACTCCATGTACTTAGCATGCACACAACTACATTCCTACGGCCGAGTGTCCACTACTCCTAGTGGGCCCATTGATTACAACGCCACGCCATCACTCTAGATCTTGCAGCTCCAACGCCCGGCTGTTGGAATGACTAGATACGCTGGCACGACAGTCCCGGGCTACCGCATTGCAAAAGACTGCTTGCCACCAGCAACTTGAAACCTAAAATGCTTGGGGGTCGGAGCGCGTCCGTAGCCTGCGACTAGACAAAATGTACCAACTTGTGGCACTAGACTCGTACCGAGCGGGTCACGGTCACCTATTTACAATTCTAATCTCCGCTGAAACAATTCTCCCGGCGCCGTTCACAATCTTAACATTTCGCTTCCCACCGCCAGGTTTGTTTGCACTACGCCCGGTCCGACAACAGACCCTTCAAACAGCTACACAATCACACACCAGCCGAGGCTGAGCATGATGATCAGCATCCCCATGGCCATAGTGGGTGGTCCTCTGGTGGGAACGGGCAGCGTACTAAGCGCAGGATCTTGAACAACCGGCGGTTACAGTAAGAAAGTCAGCCAAAGCTCCGAGGAGCCCTCCTCTATTCTGTTTGTCCACATGCTTCCTGAGCTAGCGGACAACACCATCGATGGGGGGCCCACTGCAAACTGGGCCATGGGCTCCAGCCGCAGTCCTGTCCCAGGGCTGAATGCCTTCGGCTGCCGAAAATGCACATAAGCACATGCGACAAGCTGTCGAAGCGACATACTACCATGTACTAGTAGCAGGGCCAGTCTATTAGCCAGGGTCTGACATACCTACATATGTACCTACTTAAGTACTTGGGCGTGAAGATCCGCTAGATAGGTGCATATGTATGGCTCGTAAAGGGACTATTGGAACACGGCTGATGGCGCTGCAAGTAGTTTCGGCGACTAGCTCAAAGCGCTCTAGCTCCGCCCACCATGCACAGGTAATTTCGACTTCAAAGCGTTCAAGGCTTCGTGTTTTGTGGAAACTGCAATGTCGCCATCGACTGTGTAGTGTGAGCAGGCGGTAGACAGTGGGGACAGTTTGATCAGGCGAACTTGTTCAGGTCAAAACGGAGGCCTCGGTCTCCGCAAATTATGCCTTTACACGCAATTTGACCTCTGCGATGCATCTCAACGACGCAGTTGAAGGGGGATGAGAATATACGACTACACAGTGCACGGAATCGTCTATAACTGCAGTCTGTCAACACGTCAGGCTGCATGGCGCCAGTGGGTTCGGCGGCGGCAATCCATGACACATTACATGTGTGCATACACACAGACGCTGCAAGGCCGTAGGCTGTGGGCGTCGCAGATGCTCTGCCATGGTAGCCATGTGCAACTTCTCCAGTAAGCTTTGGAGGGCATGGGGCAGAGGGACTCGGGAGAGTGACACATGGCCCATGCGCAAGCTCGCTCCACCTCGCCTCGGTGAAAGCATCCCCGCAAACATCAACCCCACAAACAGTTTAACAGCTATGCACGTCATTGCATCTTTTTTTTGTCTGACCCAATACAAGTGTTGACACCTCGCCGTTTCTCTCATGTCTTCCAAATTTCTCTGCCTCCGCTCTGCGCGTCTTGCTGCGCGCTATCCGTGCCATCGACGAGCCTTTGCCTCAGCCGCCTCTAGCCGCGCCGACCACGTTCGCATCGTAGAAGTTGGGCCACGCGATGGATTACAGAATGAGAAGCAGACAGTGCCGCTGGCTACCAAGATAGACTTGGTAGAGAGGCTGGCAAAGACCGGGTTGACGACCATCGAAGCCGGCTCTTTCGTTGCGCCAAAATGGGTGCCGCAGGTGAGAAAGAAGCGTCTTAAAAATTGCTCAAGCTTTGCTGACTGTGAAGCTAGATGGCCAATTCGGCAGAGATACTTGAACACGTCCTTTCTCGTCCCCCTCCATCGCCGCGACCAATCACATACCAATGGCTTCTGCCAAACGTCAAAGGACTCGACAACTTCCTCTCCACCTGGCAATCCAAGTCCCAGCCTGGCCAAGATGCATACCCAACGCCCCCACCTTCTCCAGGACCGGATAATGGATCAGCTTCGAACGCATCCTTCCAGACTGAAGCATCAGGTTCGCCATCAGAACCTAGACACGAAGTCTCAATTTTCACAGCGGCGACCGAGTCTTTTTCTCAGAAGAATACAAATTGCTCCATAGCAGAATCACTGAAGCGTTTTGAGCCAATAATGGCCAAAGCAAAGGAAATGAACTTAAATGTGCGCGCGTACATTTCGGTCGCACTCGGTTGCCCATACGAAGGTCCAAATGTCGATCCTCACAAAGTGGCAGAGCTGGCTGTGAGTCTACTGGAGATGGGCGCCGACGAGATTTCAGTAGGAGACACTACGGGCATGGGTACTGCGCCTAAGACGATGGAGCTTCTGAAAACACTAAACGCTGCTGGCATCGACAAGAACGATCTTGCACTCCATTTTCATGACACATACGGCCAGGCGCTAGTCAACTCGGTCGTAGCTCTTGAGCATGGAATTCGCACTTTTGATGCAGCAGTGGGTGGTCTTGGAGGCTGTCCGTATAGCCCTGGTGCAACTGGAAATGTGGCCACGGAAGATCTTGTGCACTGCCTTCATAGCCTGGGAGCGAACACTGGTGTGGATATTGAGAGGCTTGCAGAAGTAGGCCAGTGGATTTCTGAGGAGTTGGGAAGACCAAACGAAAGTAGAGCTGGCAAGGCCACCTTGGCCAAGTTACGAAGAGCAGCGTAGAAATTTGAGCATATTAGATGAATGTAGAAAAGATCTTGTTTCATCTAGGACATGACTAGTATTCCATCCTGGAGCCTGTCTCTTTTATATCAATCGTTTCATCTTATGTTTATATCAGATCTATGCTCTTTTATAGAAATGGGGGGGGGGGTTACATCTTAAGCATATCTATACCAACCAAGACTTGACTTGTTGTATTTTTCTTTTCCTTGAAGAATTAGCAAGCAAGTGGATTAGCCGTGGATAATCAACAAACTCTGGAAGTAACATACACACACTGCGAGCGCCAGACTTGAAAGAAGAGAACAGATAATCTAACACTGATACCGAAAGATTATTTGTATGCTCGAAGTTTGGTTTAGCTATAAAAGAAGTAGATATTATTAAATGTGAAAAGGCATGTTGATGTATCTTCATGTTTTTTGCCCTTGGGTTCCTGCAGTGTAACTCGACCCATTTCCCTTTTTGAAATAAATATCACTCAAGCTCCATGCCTTTGCAATGGCAAAATCGCTCTTTACTATTATAATATACCTGCATCGCTTAACTACATCTAAAACATGTGTACATACCGGTATTTTCTTTTTTTCGTCCCTTTTTTTTGTGCTGGGCCCACGATAAAAAAAATAGAGCCGATATCTGACAACGTATCTCAGCCCTACCTTTACTGGTCAGACTCTAACCTCGTCTGCACCTCTCCCGGGAGCCCTATTAGTCCCTATTCTCACTCATCTTCGTCATATCCGACTTGGACACTGTAGATACAAATCCTAACGGAACACTACATTAGCTCGATAGCTGCGTTCGTCTATCGTGAATACAGACTGTTTGAACCTCACTGGGCTATTGGTTTACCCCTCCCTTACCCGGTTATTTCGATCCCATTGACATGTCATGTTTATCACGCTCTCTTGTATGTCTAGAATTGAGATGGGGCTGAATAGTTGGTAAACTGTCTCGCTGTAAGATCGTTTTCATGCTGTTCATGTTTCCTGTTGACTGGTATGCATAATAGGTTCGTTTAATAATTTCCTCTCGGTGCTAGGAATGTCTGCCAGCAGCGTGGGAAGAATCTAAGCACAGAAGGGGGTGTTGAGAACGTTTGTAGACTAGAGTCAAATAGATTGTTGTTGTTTTTGGGGTTAATCGCGCGTTTGGTAGGAGAGAGACACGTGGTATGTTTATATTGTAGCATGTTGTACAAGTTATTGCTGTGGCGGTAACCGTAGGATATTAACAAAGTATGAATTGTTGATAGGATGACTAGAAAGTATTTTAATGGTTAAAGAATAGGTTACACCACTTGGCCGAGCATAAATGAGGCTTTAAGCTCATGAAGAGGCACTTTGCGCTAGTAGATATACGACCCAGTTCTTTTGAATACTTCGCTAAGGGAAGCCTCTATACCGATATCTATCTGTCTACGACATGTGATTCCTTCTCTTTCCTTAAATATACATTTACAATTTCCTTTGCATCAACGTGGTCAAAATAACAATTAAGATTCAGCCCATGCGAGAACATGAACGCTCCATTGCTGATATAGTGGGTCTGGATCCATTTAAGTTGCTCACTAGTGAACTCTGCAGGGTCATCAAATTCGTCCTCGTCATAATCGTAGTCGGACCCTTCTTCGTTCGCACTTTCTCCATAAATACCCTTTTCACGCATGAGTTCCCGCAGTATCAATCTGCCCTTTTCGCAGTCCTCATCATTGTAGATATTGAGATCATGTTTACTAAGGAAAGTGCTCTCATTGTCCCAGCAACATTCAAGGAACCTTCTCTCGAATTCTGTGTACGGTGGATTGGTGTCTGTGACCGGGAACTGGCGCCAGTGGTGCGTTCTAGTATTGATTGCAAGTCTTCGAGATGATCCCCACCTGGACGGTCTAGCCCATTTTTGCTCTTCGCTGGGTTCCCAATAACATTTTCGCCCTTTACTGTGCATCCAATAACAGCTGAGCATGTACATTCCGTTCTTTCGAAGTACACTCGGACCCAGTTTTCGGACCGCCAGGCTGGTTTCTGAATTTGACACTGTAGAACGGCGCATTAGATTCAAAGTACGCCATGTTGTTGCAATCGCTGTCACTGATCGTCCCCTTTGCCTCTTCGCTAGGATAAATTTGTACACGATGACCATCAAGGTCCAGTGTGTCTCCAATGACGTTGCAGATGGAATCAGGCACATGCAAGACCTTCTTCAGATGCAGAAAACCGTGGTCAGATACACTAAACTGATTTGTTAAGCGTTCGGTGGGAACCTCCACAGTGCCAACTCCCAATATAGGCAGATATCTAGGGGAACAGAACAGAGAATGTTTGATCTGAGAAGTAAAAGGAGTTTAAGTCTTGAACCAGCCTCGATCTTTCGCCACGCTGCTTAGTGTTAGTAGCGCGCTTGTCTAAGTGGCTGGCCTATGCTCTGCTCACTGGACGTTGGAGGCCCGATGCAGGTAGGTCCAATCTGAACAAACTGGCGTACTATCATTAGTAGCCATCTTTATGTGTAAAATTCCCAACAAGAGGTGTGTTAGTGAGTACGTAGGCAAGTGCCAAGACGACGCAAACGAAACAACGCCATGCGGTGTCACACGTCACGTGATACAACATCAGCACTACGCCTCTTTAAACACCGCTCGGGTGTAAGGACCCGTCTAAGGAAAGGCTGAACGACTGCATAGTCAGTTGAGCGCCATTGAAACTGTGTAGATTTAGTATTGTTATTGAATTCGTTCTAGTCTTTTCCTTGCTTACCACTTGTCGAATGTCGTGGGTCTTCGTTACATGGCTAGGCGCTATCTAAAGACAGATATTCCTAACATATGAGTATACCAGGCCGGATACATTACTTAGGTAAAGTGTGGAGGGCGGTATAAGTGCTGTAAACTAGGGCGGTAGTACGGGATACGGGTTGCATACTGACATGCAAGTTCTAAGGATGACTAGGCAAATGGATAAAGTACAAGGATGACATATGTGAAAAGTGAATTTAAAAGAGAAAGCTAGGAAGAGTTGAGTTCTTAGTTTCTCTCTTGGCATTTGGGCGAGTTAAGCTTCGCATGTTGCTTCCTCGTTTCACAGCGACCAAACACCTTAGAATTGGGTTTGTATCGAACTCTATGCTCATAGTGTTGGTTATAGCAAAGGTAGCTAATTAACCTCCAGTATTTGAGAAAAAAAGTGCTGTTAATTACGTAGAGATGTCATATCGCAACACGGTAAGTTCAGTTTAGCCTCGTCGTGCCTCGCAATATCCATCTCCAATTTAAGCTATAGGTAAGGAATGCCAGCGTATTAAAACTTATATGAACATTTTTTTCAACAAACTTTTTGAAGCGGAAAGATAGCTATGATCGATTAACTCAAAAGAATCATGCAAAATATGACGGTAACGTCCGAATGTGCTTCTCTTTTGAAAGAAACCTTCATCTAAGTATGTAGAAACGATCAAGCAACATGGATGCAAAATGTCGGATGAAATCATGAATGCGAGTCTCCCGAAATGTTTCTTTGATTTGAGAGGAAAGATTGCCCTAATAGGATGGATTGATTCTCAGCACTTGACTGGTGTTGCTACTACCTACTGCGACAAGTGTTATAAGTGTGTGCTATGGGAATATTGCAATACATTGTTTTGTCACATGAAAAGTTTGGAATACTTTTTTCTCCTGTTGAGAGATTTAGAGTGCTAATCAGTGTGGGTTTCTTACTTTAGAAATCTTATTAATAGCCTAAAAGAAAATATGTCTATAAGTGCTGATAAGCTCCATAACAGATGCAGGAAATAGGCACGGTCAGGTAAATAGTTCAAAAGATTTGGTCTAATATTGGCAACTGGAATATGGTAATACGATGGCCCATTTTCATGATCTCCACTTTTGGCACAAATTTTGGTCGACCAAGCCACCATGGAGGTCGGCATGAAGAGATACAGAAGACAACGATATATAAGCTTCATTGTGGTTGCCCAGTTGAATGAGTAGTTAGAACGATAGCAGCCGAATTTTGATCAAATCAAACGTCCATAGCAAACCGTACTAGTATTGCTGAGAATAGCTTCTAGCTTTGAAAACAATCAAGTCTGAATGATGAGAAGAGCATGGACTACTATCCTACACTGAAAACAAGTATCACTATCTACCATGGAGTGGAGGGCATGAGTATGGAAGATTTTCTTACGATGGTGCACATGAAATTGGTCGGGCATGATCCAGGCGGAGATGTATGGTTGAAGCTACTGCTCATGACCTGATCTTGCATGACACTATTATGCATCGTTGCCTTTGTAACCATACTATGACGGTACCTGATTAGCTGATGTAAAATTGTTGAAACGCTAAAATTCAACGCAGTTGGTAATTTGTAATTGGTGCATTGTCGGTGGATCGAAGACCAATGGTGCACAGCGCAAATGCTTCATCTGCTCAACTTGACATTGCATATATGTAATGCATAAAAGGGTCGCAGCTGCCAAACGATGATTTACACCGCTCCAGTAGACGTACAACATCTTGAGTCGCTGCAGCAGTGCCTGGCAAGGCTAGCTCGGTGTGCTGGCACGGCAGCCCTCTGGCGCAAGATATTTGGCGCGGATCGGCCGTGCGTGTGACGACACGGGCAGCCTCGAGGGGGTTGATACTGGCCAACAAGATGTCTAGGTTGAAGTTAAGGTTTGATAGCCAAGTGCGCCTCGGAGCAGTCACAAAGATTGGTGTAAACATGATGGGGAGGGTAGTTAGCGTCACGACACAGCGTGGGGATTGTTTGGTACGGTATGTATGACAACAGTTCGCATGGCGCTTGCGGGTCGAAAGACGTCGATCACCGCATGGTTGGCGGATGAATCGGCACACAATGAAAAAAAGTAGCTCGCATGCATAGAAGGGTTGCGACATGGTGATATCAGCCTGTGCAGCCCAGTGTCGAGACGGGTTGGGCAGTTGAGTGGGATGACGGGTGGCTGCATGCAGGGGCATCGGCCTGCATTCCCTCACCTGCGAGAGTGTGGCGCTTTGTGGCGCCGCCATCTTGAGGCTTGTGGAGTGTCCAGGGGACAGTCAACGGAGAGAGACTCGAGACAGGCAGTGGTCCCTGAGCAGGTGACGTTAGGGGCAGCAAAAACAGGATGATAGCAAGCGCAGACTCGGCAGCGTGGCTAGACTCTCTGGTCGGGTTGACTCTTGACCACCATGACGTTGGTTGGGCGGGACGAAAGAGAAAAGCAGGGTTCAAACTAGCCGTGGCTTGGAGTGACGCACGGGCTCCGAGATCGACATGACTTATGTCCTTACAAGGCAGCCCAGCATGGCGGTGCGCTCCGTCACGTGACAAAAATACTCGGACTGCGTCATCGCCAGACAGATCTTCGACACACACATAAATCCTTTCGCCCTGATGCCTCACTTGGCCTGATCCCTCATCCTCCCACACCCTGCATACTACACCTACACCCTGCAACAACGCTCGCCCTTTGCCTCTCCACACCCGACAACCGCAACCATGGGCCTCGGTGGTGCTGCTTTGAAGTTTGGCTCGACCGCCATCTATGCTCTCGAGTTCTGCTGCGCTGCAATCGTCCTTGGCATTTACAGCTACTTCCTCGCTGTACAGGCTGACCGCGATGTCAACATTCCAGTCTGGCAACAGGCCGTCACTGGTCTCTCCGGTGCCGTCGTCCTTTACACCATCTTTGCTGTCTTGTTGACTTGCTGCATTGGTGGAAAGGTAAGAATTCTAAACCCTATCACTCAGGATTGTGTACTGACTATTGGATAGACAATGTTTGCCATGCTTGCAATTCTCTTCAACATCCTTTGCTGCGGTGCCATGATTGCCATCGCCGTTCTGACCCGTGATGGTGCATCCAGCTGCTCTGGCAATGTAAAGACCCCTCTTGGCAACGGTCCTGCACGCTCCAAGCAAGGCTTTGGCTCCAACGGCCAGGGCAACCAGATCACCTACTCTGCTTCTCTGGGCACCACCTGCAGGCTCAACACTGCCTGCTTTGCCGTCGCCATCATCGGTGCCTTCCTCTTTTTGCTCAGCGCCCTCCTTCAGGTAGCCCTCATGCGCCACCACAAGAAGGAAAAGCGCTTCGGTCCTGGCCCTTCAAACGGCTACACCAAGGGCTCCGGCATGAAGTTCTGGCAGCGCAAGAAGGCTCACAGGACCACTGGCAGCCGTGACCCTGAGGTTGCTGCCGTGCCTGCTGCCACTGGTGGACTTGCTGCTCCTAATGGTACCCACGACTACCGCCCCAGCCACGATACCGCCTACACTGGCTCAACTGTCGCATCTCCCAACGCCGGCTATGACAGCCACAAGCCTGTTGGCTCTGGCTACCACACCGCCCCTACTAGCAACTACGCTATCAACGGTAACACTGCTACCTACGGAAACACCGCTACCAACTATTAAGCGAAATAAATACATCAAATACCGGATGTCAGCGTCGCTCTAGACTCATTAGTCAATGTGCTTTTCAGCACAAATTTTCCTTAACTGTACTTAACGACTTTGACGCATTACACTATACCACACGTAGGCGGAGATTGAATTGGAATACATGGCGGCAGAATTGAATAGCCGATGTAAACTTGTACGATAGGGCGATACGATATCTAATAATTAATGACAATATCCACAAAACGATGCCATGATTTCTCATTATGATGATGATACTGCAAGACTGCGAATCAATGCATTTGCACAACCTGTGACAAAGAGGAAGCGAGATATTATCCTGGAGTGCTTCGAGTTTTACCCAATCCTGGCGTTTTCATATTGGTATTCAACGAATTATTTTACAATAGTTCGATGTTCACTTTTCGAGCTCGAAAAAAATACACGATATTCAGTCTGCACGGTGTTCATCTGGTGGATTGTCGGAGCCACTCAGCGCGTGGCTGAATAATCCAATTATTAACGTCATACTTTGTTTCGCCCGAGTTCGCGAAACTTTCCGTCTCTCATCTTCGCACCCTACCATTGCGACAATACACACTACCTGCTACATATAACACCTGGATTTATCCCTAGCAATGACCTCAAGCACAATTCCTCGCTCTGCTCTGCGCGCCCTTTCGCGCGCTGCGCCTTTGCGAAGCACAGCGCCACGCATTGCCACAAGATGCATGCACCAACGATCATCGCCCATCACAACCTCACAGCTTCAACATAGACCAACAGCGCAACAATGGACACGGAAAGTAGCTGCGCCTTCCACGGTCGTTGCACGTCGAACAATGTTCATCCAAACCGAGCCAACGCCAAACGCCGATGTATGCATGCCCCGCCTTGTTCCACTACCGTTCTCCTACTGACAGCGGCCAGGCATTGAAATTCAATCCCAATCAGCGAGTTCTTCCTGAAACAATATCGTCGCCTTTCCTCGAATATCTAAACCCGCGCTCGACTCTCGCACCCCCACATCCTTCTCCGCTAGCGGCCCAACTACTCAACATCGACGGCGTAACGAGCGTCTTCTTTGGCGCAGATTACATTACCGTAACAAAAGACTCGGCAACGCCATGGAGTCACATCAAGCCTGAGGTATTCGCTATCATTACCGAATTCATGACATCTGGATCACCAATTGTCAACACCGTGGCTGCGAAAGCTGGAGAACAAGGTCAAGGTGGTCAAGAAGCCGACAGTCTGGCCTACGATGAGAACGATGACGAAGTAGTTGGAATGATCAAGGAGCTGCTCGAGACGCGCGTCCGGCCCGCGATCCAAGAGGATGGTGGTGACATTGAATTCCGGGGCTTCAACGACGGCCAGGTTCTCTTGAAGCTGCGCGGTGCGTGCCGGACTTGCGATTCGAGTACAGTAACGTTGAAGAACGGAATTGAGAGCATGTTGATGCATTACATTGAAGAAGTCAAGGGGGTACAACAGGTTTTGGATCAGGAAGAAGAGATTGCAATGAAGGAGTTTGCCAAGTTTGAGGAGAAGTTGAGACAGCAAAAGGGCGAGGATGCAGTCAAGGGCACGGTTGGCAAGGGCAGTTTGGATTATGTCGAGTAAGTTGGCGCGTGAAGAGGAGTAGACGATGGGAGATGATGTTCAACCGATACCAATGCATTCATTTTGGATTCTCAAAACTACAAGTACATGTCTATAACACAAGCCATATGCACAAATATGTAACATATCCAAAATTCAGGCTGGCATTGTGTGATGGGGTATTACCAAGTTGCGAGGAGCAGCGTGAGTTGAGCAAAGAGTAGTAAAACAGCGAGAGCAAGTGTAATTACCAAGCAGCTGAAGGCAAGAGACCCATTTGAAGAACAATTTAGTAATAACAGGCAGAGACGAGATGCGGGGAAAGGGAGAAAAAAGGAAATCCAAACGTCAGCAGTGGGGTATCCAACGTACGCTCATGCAGATGGAGTCAAAAAGGAAAAAAGGAAGAAGCGAAAAAAGAAAAGCGAAAAAAGAAATGACGGCGACATCCATCAATCATATCCTAGCCCCTAGAGACATGCTCTGAGCCACATCGTCATAACCCTATTCGTAAACCCAATCATTCACACACCTCCATCACCCAACCTCCATCCCACATTACCGATGAAAAAAAACTCCCCCAACGAAAGCAAAAAAAAGGTGAGTTGAACAGAAAAAGAAGAACCAGAAAAAAAACATCAACACGAAGAAACTGGAAATGAAAAAAAAGGAAAAAACCTCGTACGCGTAAGACATTTCAAGATGACAGCCGTAAATGCTCATTCCACATCATCGTCATCATCATCGTCGTCGATCATCAATCAATCAATCAAATCATTCTTCAAGCAACAACTCGGACATTGCATCCAGGGCCTCACCAATCGAAGCCCAGAAGCTGCGTCGAGGAGGCGAGCGGATAATGGTGATTAGACGGCGTTTGGTTTGGCGTATAACAGGAGGAGTGGCAGCAGTAGGACGACGAGGGGTGGCGTGGTAAGTATCATCGCCGTCGTGGTCTTCTGAGGTAAGGTTATGTACAGCGCTGCGGACGAGTTTGTTGTATTCGTTGTGGATTTCCTGGGATACGTCTTGGCTGATATCGTCGTCGTCGTCGTTGACAAGGGTCTGCCAGCTGTCCATCATGCCGAATTTTCTGGTTGTGGAGTCGTCTTTGTGCTCGATCGCTTTGTCATTAATACCGGGTTCTTTTTTTCCTCCTTGGTTTCGTAGAGGTGAGTTGTGTCCCGGTTCATCCTCCATGTCTACAATCTTTGCGATTTTGAAGTCTTTTTCACCGCTACTGGTGTTACCGCCGGTAGTGTCACCGCCGGTACCGACACCGCCACTTCTTTCGAGCTCCTCGCGCATAGTTTGACGGACGGTCTTCATCTGTTTACGCAGGTCATTGATGACATCTAGCTGGATGCTATTCAGCGTCTTGACTTCATCCAGGCGCTTCCGCAGCTCGTCAACGTATTTTTGTACGCTGTTGACATAGTTGCCTACTTCCGCAACATACGACTGGTGGTACAGCCTTTTTGCTTCGGCAAGGTCATCTTTGCCGTCGTCTGCGTGCATGATACCAGCCCCCTGGTTGAAATGTGAAGGATACTGTGTACCCGTTTCATTCTCATACGATTCTGGAGCTGAAAGACGCATTGCCATGGCCTCAAATTGCCCTACAATATATTCCATCTGATCTTCGTCTGGCTGCTGCGACTGGATCAAATCCTCAAACTGCGCAATACAGGCGGATAAAGCATCCTGGACGGGCGATAAAGCGGGATCCGAGTAGTCGTCCCATGGTGGCGGGGAAGTAGGGATAATAGTGTGTCGACGCAATATTTGGGAGCTATCAGGCGTGTAGGGGTAGCGTGGTACGGCCCTTGGCTGTGAATATGGCTCGTCAAGGTGGTACTGTTTTTTGGGCGTATACGGAAGGGGTTCGGTAAGACGGGAACTGAGTTTCGGCCGTGAGGCTGTGAACGGGGTTCTTGGACTATAGGTTTCGGTCATCCACGAGGGTTGCTCGTGCACACGGTCAGTATCGTTTAGCCAACGCTGCTCTTTCCTAGCATATCGCGAGGGTGAATTTCCATATAGGTTGAGATGGCTTGGGCGAGTGCGAGCATATGGTCGGTCTTCGATCTCTGGCGGTGTCCATGGCCGCTCCAGGCTGCGTGGAATTTCCATGGCGCTATCGCAGCGGCGCGAGGGCCGCATACTTCTCTTGTACTCCGCAATAAATCTGCACGACTTTCCCGATACTCCCAAGAATGCTGCCAGCCAAAAAGTGCGATGTGCGGTGAAACGTGAAACTTGGACAGGTCCGAGTTGGCAGAGAGAATAGGGTTCGCCCTAAGTGACGTGCGTATAGCCGCGGCACCCATGTGGCCTCGAAAGAAACCTGGGCGACTCAGCCGCGCGAAGTGGGGTGGTTGGAGTCCCTCTATCGATAGCAATTTACTTCGGGATATTGACCCTTCCGATTGGACAGGCCATCAACAATTGTGTCTTCAGTACACTTTGCGACTACCCTTTGTGACACATACATTCCTCTTCTTATACGTTCACAAGATTCGCAGAGCGTTCGTTCTACATTTCAGCAGTTATGGCGCCACAGGTATGTCCATAATCAAGCCAATGACGTGACACCAAGCTGAGCGCATGACCACAGCAGCTAGGCATTCAGCCATCGCTTGACACCGTTCGAGAAGTATTGGCCACATCGATCAAATCTCCCAATCCACCGAACCTGGTGCCCGTGTACTCCTCGATTCCCGCCGAGTTTCTCACGCCGTCGAGTATATATCTGAAGGTCTCCGCAAAGTGAGTATGACTCATGCGATATCTAAGCAGGCAGCGCGAGGAACGGCAGCGCACAAAGAGGACAAGGAGGCGGGGTAGATTGGAGGGACACGGGGCATAAGCGATGGTAGAAGAGGGCTTGGGGACATTTGTGCTGACTGTCTTGGCTCAGATCAAAGTCGAGGCTGTCGTTTCTTTTCGAGAGCGCCGCAACTACCGAGACCATAGGACGGTACAGCTTTGTTGGGGCAGGTCGGTACTTGGGAGCAAATGTTTCAGACACGGCAGCTAACAACAAGCCTTTAGACCCTCGAAAAGTTATCAAGACAGGCCCCGGCCATGGCGAAGAGACCGATCCACTGCCTCTGCTTGAAGAGGAGCTCGCAAAGAGCCGTGTCGCGACTGTCCCCTCAATACAACTACCTCCCCTGACCGGTGGCGCTGTGGGATACGTTGGATATGACTGCGTCAAATACTTTGAACCCAAGACAAGACGAGATGACATGAAAGACGTGCTGGGCGTACCCGAGAGCCTCTTTATGCTCTTTGATACAGTGGTTGCATTGGATCATTTCGCGCAGGTTGTCAAGGTGATAACATACGTCAAGGTTCCAGATAGCCTCGACAATCTCGAGGCGGCGTACGAAGAAGCCAGGAGCACACTGCAAAGATATGTGACAATACTGAAGGACAAGGATATTCCGTTGCCAGAGCAAGGGCCGATCAAGTTGGGCAACGAGTACACGTCGAACATTGGACGAGAGGGATATGAAAACCACGTCAAGGAGCTCAAAAAGCACATTAGCGTTGGCGACATCATCCAGGCGGTGCCGTCGCAACGATTTGCAAGACCGACCTCATTGCACCCGTTCAATGTGTACCGGAATCTGCGAAGCGTTAACCCATCGCCATATCTATTTTTTGTCGATTGTGACAAATTCCAGATTGTGGGCGCCAGTCCCGAGCTGCTGGTCAAGGAGGAGCAGGGTCGCATCATCACGCACCCGATTGCCGGGACTGTCAAGCGGGGCAAGACACTGCAGGAAGATGCAGCACTTGCGGAAGAGCTCTCTCAATCACTCAAGGACCGAGCAGAACATGTGGGTTTTTCTGACGACAAGCCGCATGCAACGACGTTGAAGCTTACCAGTATTTTGGCAGGTCATGTTGGTGGACTTGGCTCGCAATGACGTCAATCGTGTGTGCGACCCACTTACCACTCGGGTGGACAAGTTGATGGTGGTGCAAAAGGTAAAGCGTTTCCGCCCTAACCGTGATCGCCAAGTGTGGTGTGATGAGAGCAGGGTGCGATGGAGCCAAAGCGGGAATGACGATGCTAACGAAATGGAAACCAGTTTTCGCACGTGCAGCACCTGGTGTCGGAAGTATCTGGCGTACTGCGACCTGGCAAGACGCGATTCGACGCGTTCCGCTCGATATTTCCCGCTGGTGAGTAGCGCCACCGAAAAAAACCTGAAAGTGGGCTAACGAGTCGGAGGAACGGTGAGCGGAGCGCCCAAGGTTCGCGCCATGGAACTCATCGCCGAGCTGGAGAGGGAAAAACGCGGTGTGTACGCCGGCGCAGTGGGCTACTTTGGCTATGGCAGCGTTGATGGCGAGAGAGAGATTGAAGGGGCCATGGACGTGAGTGGTATCACAGTGTTGCTTGAGGCTGACAGGAGGCTGATGTGTGCAGACATGCATTGCGCTAAGAACGATGCTGGTCAAGGACGGCATCGCCTATCTCCAAGCAGGGGTAAGTCCGAGGACATGTATCGCGCGGGCAGGTTGATTGGGAGCTAATGATTTGTCACAGGGAGGCATAGTGTTTGATTCGGACCCGTATGATGAGTGGATGGAGACTATCAACAAGTTAGGTGAGTTTATCAATGGCAGCTAAGTAGCAATCTGGACGGCGATGGGCGCAATTAGCTAACGGAGTGGTTGGGATAGGCGCAAACACGCATTGCATCACGTCGGCGGAAGAGAAGCATCTGGCCGAGCAGAGGGAGGAGGGTGAAGGGGCGTAGGAGAGGGGTGCGGGAGAAAGAGGGGGACGCAGAGGAGATGCAGAGGGGCGGGAATTCCCTTGAGGCTGGTTAGACTGCGCCACAAATGGTGGTCTGTGTACTCACCGCATGTACCCTCTCTCGTTGGTGTATGCGGGTAGTAGGAGAGTTGGAAGGGAGGAGAGGGGCTAGTGATTGGCGGGCAGGGTGGAGATCGGCGGCGCCTAGATCTGAGCAATTGGGGTGGCAGTCGTGGGGAAGCAAGATTGATTTCGCAGCCAAGGGTGCGTGGGAGCATGGATGGACGGCACATCGTCGTCTGTGTGAAACGGAGACGAGGGGCAATCTGGTGGCCAGGGCAGCGGGCACGGCAGATGTTTGATCAAGGCAGAGCAAGAACACCAATGGTTACGGCGTCACGGCTAAGTGGCTGTGGTGGGTGCAATTAATATTTGAGCAATTTGGCCGTGTTCCCGCTTGGTGTCGGTCGCACGGGCGCGAGCGAGCGAGGGAAGATTTGGCGGTGATGATGATGATGATGGTTGCCATGACGAAGTGGAGCGAGGGCGGGCGGGCGAGGGAGCGAGCGACGAAGCGAGCAAGCCAGCAGGTCGGCCAGCAGGTAAAGCAGGACACACGGACAGTGTGCAAGTGAGTGCCATGACTGACAGCGCGTGAGTTGGCCGTCGTGCTGCAGTCAAGCTACATCATAGGGAAGGCGCGCCCGGCCCGACACCCAATCACCGTCGCGCCTGCCCGTTCTCGTTCCTTGGATAGGCGCATGGGTGCGGATCATGGGGCCCGTGCCCTGGGGCTGGGATGGCCCCTGCCACTGCAGAGCCCGTTGTGCGTGAAAGCTGGGCAGTACCTTCTTGTACCAGCCACGCTCCTCTCTGGTTTGTTGTCACTGATATAAACCTCACCGAGCTCCCCTCTGCTCTCACTCCTCACCCCTCTCGCAACCACATCTTCAGCTTCTGCAAAGACTTGTCTGTCTCAATTCCTCCTCAATTCCTCATATCAGCTTCTATCACAACATCCCTCCACCCCTCCACCTACCCACAGTCAAGATGAAGTCTTTCGCCGTCCTCGCTGCCGCCTTTGCCGGTGCCGCTTTCGCCCAGGACATGCCCACTGGAGACTGCGCTGTAAGCTTTTTACCAATTGGCTTCTCACTGACCCATTCACCAATACTGACTCTCACTTAGATGCTCTGCGTCAACAACATGGCCCGCATTGCCCAGTCTGAGTTCTCCTGCGGCGACGACATTGCCTGCTTCTGCAGCCGCTCCAACTGGGCCTTCGGTATCCGTGACTGCTCTCGCCAGGCCTGTGATGCCGAACAGTCTGCCAGCGCTGTCCAGTGGGCCTATGCTCGCTGCGCCGGTATTGCTGCCACTGCCAGCGAACAGCCCGCCGCTCTTCCCATTCTCACCTCTGCCGTTGCTAGCGCCACTGCCTCTGGCGGTAACGCTGCTTCCAGCGTCGCCTCAGGTGCCTCATCTGCTGCCTCTTCTGCTGCTTCGGACGCCTCATCCGCTGCCTCCTCCGTAGCTTCGGATGCTTCGTCTGCTGCCTCATCTGCTGCTTCCGGCGTTACCTCTGCCGCCAGCTCTCTTGCATCTGAGGCTTCTGGTCTGACCTCTTCCATCCTCTCCGAGGCCAACTCTGAGCTTTCATCCCTTCAGTCCCGCGCTAGCGAGGTCCTGTAAGTTGACACTCTTCACACACACACACACACATCAACAACCAACTAACAATTACATAGTTCATCCGCCACTGAGGCTCTCTCCTCTGCTACTGGAGCTGCTGGCTCTGCCGCCTCCTCTGCCGCCTCTGCCGCCTCCACCCAGGCTGAGGGTGCCGCCCCCAAGGCCACCGGCATGTCCATCGCCGCTGGTGCTGGTATTGCCGCCTGGCTCCTTCTCTAAGCGCATCACATCATATCTTACCAAAGGCCATCACCTAGTGGAGTAATGTGTATAATGACTAAGGTTATGGGTCGGTAATGGACGGTGGCCTTTGGATAGTGGATGGGTGGGCTGGTTTGTTTTCTCTCCTAATGAACACTGACGAGAGAGTATGATGATTATGACGACTGAGTAATGCTATTCTGAGCATTCGATTTGATACCCCGACACGGGATTTGTAGATAGTACATCAATGATAATACTTCTTACGATGCTTTATTGTACCCCTTGATTCTTCCTTGCTCTTGTGATGACAGCTGCTTTGATTGGAAATTGTATATGGTTGGTAGTAGTCCATTATCCTTTGTCGTGGCTACGATGTACATGTAGTTGGGGAGGATGGCGTTGGTGTCGGATACTTTGTCGACGAAGTTGGGATGAGGTCGAGTTGAAGCTTCTCTGACACAGCCTCAATGGGCGGGATTCCCCTGCATGTCTGCCACACTCACGTGATGTGACATCTCTTTATCTCCGCAAACCAATCCACCCCTCGTCCCGTCAAGTTGCGTCGCATCACATCGCATCGCCTTGCCTTGCATCGCCTTGCATGGCTATCTATATCATATCTCATCCGACATATAAAGGGTGAAAGCATGGTACAATTCGAGTGCTTACATGGTCCGTGTGTTTGACCGTTGGAAATTGTTCCGTCCGTACCATCGTTTGCGTGGCTGAGCTTCATTCGTATAACTCTAATCTTACCACTTTTTTTATTACGCGTAATCTGATCACATGAACACGCAATAACAAGGGAGTCTTTCTTGCCGCTTGGGGGATCCCCACATGTTCATGTCTATACTCTATCTTTTCGTAATACGGAGGCATTATCCTTGTTCCGTTATTTTTTTTGGGGGGGGGGGGGGGGAACATGAACCCCACTTTCCTCCGTTTGGCTTCAGCCACGGGCGGGTATACGGGTGTGTGTGTGAGTGGTGGTGGTAGGTGTGGCTGGTGAAGATTTGCCGGGGACTTCCGGGGATAAGACCTTGAGGCATCCAGGCGTAGGAACGTGGGGGGAAGGGGGGACTGCAGGCAGTGGCTGAAATTTGCATCTACGTATTTTGGCAAGTGTGGCTTGGAGATGGTTGGTGGGGGACACGTGATGCGTAGGTATGTACGTTCCAATATGTAGACCTCTCTCTCTCTCTCTCGCATGATGTAGGTAGATAGGGGGAAAGACTCACGATATGACTAAACTGAGCTCGGGAGATGAGTACCATTGGAAAGGAAGAGTCTAGGAAGATACGAAGTATTAGATGAGGAGAGAGTGATGTTGTGGAATTAAATCTGTGCGGAAATTCAGCAGTGTTGGGGAGGCGAAACCCTTGCACCCTTAACCAACGTCAGTCTCAACGCCCTGACAATGGACAAGCATCTGCGTTGCTTTAGAGAACGGTCATTGCAATGCCACCCTTTGAATACGCACTGTAGTAAGTTCGAGGTTAGGACGTTCATACAACTACATGTCGTCTCTCTTAAAGGGGCAAGACCACGTGTCAGACGCGTCACCCATTCCACCAAAGCCATTACGCTCTGCAATGCAGAAAAGGCATGTATTAAATGTCGTTCCGACTTGCACATCTATCAAGCACTACTTCATCCCTTCCTAACATTAATATGGCCTTGCACCGGTCCTCACATCCCTCTATGCACTTATGTGTGCATCACAACTTCGCCCTTGCATCATCCACCCGATTTCCCTGCTGATCAAAGACGATCTTCTTACCCGTCTTCAAGCTATCCTGCAGAGCAACTCCAATCTTGACTGCCTCCATTGAGCTCTCAAGATCAACTGGCACCTCCTTGTTATCCAGCACAACATCGGTAAACTGCCTTGCCTCTTCCACAAACGCCTGCTCAAAGCGCTCGTAGTAGTTTTGCGGAATCTCCCTCACAATACCCGCATTCGTATGGCTTTCCAACAATCCCGTCGCAGGGTTTGAATTGACTGCGAGTTTTCCCTTTGTACCGATAATCTCCGTCGTGTCGTGTTGACCAGGGGCGTTCATGCGCGTACTGTAGAAGTAGGCAATTTGGCCAGAGTGGAACTCAACAACACCCACTCCATTGTCCACATCGCCGAACTTTGCTAGGTCGGGCTCGAGTGCTGTAACGCCGACGGCCATGACCGACTTGACTCTCGGCAGGACTCTGCCCTTTGACTCGGCGGAGAAGTACCACAAGGCAAGATCGATATCGTGAATGTTGCAATCGACAAAGATGCCGCCAGAGAACTCGGCGTATGCTACGAAGAAGCCGGAGGGATCGTACCTGTGGATTGTTGTGTTAGTGTAGGAACAATAGGGACTTAAGGGATGCTACATACTTGTCGCATGTTTGTGATCTCAGGACTGTGGGACGTCCAATGCTACCGTTCAAAGCAAAATTGTACGCGTTCAAATAGGACGAGTCGAAGCGACGAGAGAAGCCGCACATGACCTTAACGTGAGAATGACGCTTTGCGGTTTCGAGAACTTTGCGGCACTAGGCCTGTTGTAAGCTGTACATCCTTGGAAGCAGTGAGGTGAGTGATTACTTACCTCATCCAGTTTAGTACTGAGTGGCTTCTCACACAGTACATGCTTGCCAGCTTCAATTGCTTTGGTTGTCTGTTCAGCGTGGACCGTGGTGACTGTTGCTACACAGACAGCCTCAAGTCCCTCATGTTTCAACATCTCGTCGTAGTCGGTATAGATCTTAACACCCCATGGCTCAAGGTTCTCCTTCGCCCAAGCAAGCTCCTTTTTGTCTGGTGTAAATGCTGCTACAAGCTCAGCCCTGGGCGTGCGGTGAAGGAAGTGGTTTGCGTGACGGGCACCCATCCGGCCAAGGCCTGAGACGGCAACACGGAGTCTGCGGATCATTGTGGTCATTGTGAAGGAATTTTTAGATGAAGTGTATGAACAATGGGTCAAGGAGAGATGTTAAGAGAGATGTGGAAGGTTGTTCTCTTCACAGCCAGCAAAATAGGAGTCAGTTTGAACGTCTATGGGAATAGATCGACTTGCAATCGTCGTAACACATGTTGGTCAAAGCTTTGCTCAGGGTCCAAAAACTGTCCTCGGAGGCATCAAGGAGAGAATCTTCCACCTATTTCGTCATGTCTCCCATCTTTCTATGACACATGCAACCGAATTCTAATCACTGCGCTCGGAAGTACGGCTACCTCTTCCTAACCAGATTTCCAGACGATGAGCCAAGTTTCCCCACGACAAGCAGCTCACGATGTTCAGATAGGCCAGTTGTACTGGATAGCGAGAAGAAAGCATAGAACTGGTCGTTGTAGTACGGAACTATACATGATGTTGACGAAAATGTGGGGGAGTATGTGGAGTTGTATCGCGCCAGAGGCAGCTCTGGGGTAAGACAAATGGGGAAAATTTCCCCGTTTGACAACTGAAGCTAATGGTCCAGTGCAACAACAACAATTACAACAACAACCTGCAGTAGTACATCGCGTACCTATTCTGGTGTAACACGGAATTTTAAATTTGGTAGCCTGAAAGGAATGCGTCGGAGAAAACCCCGAGAGTCGAGGTTGAACGGAGTTTCCAGTTGCAAGCGGCCCTCGTATCTTTCTGACCGGTTGACTAGGTGTTTCATGTATATTTTACGTTATTTCGATATTGGAGTGTCATGAAAGCAATCATATCTCGGCTTGGTCAAGATTTCTCTTTACGGGCTACGCAAGCAGTGTCAGAAAAGATTACGATGCAAATATATTGAACTTCTTACTACAGCGCCCTGAATGCTAAACTCCTCAATTGATACAAACTTTTTCCAAGACTCGCCTATGCTTCGTCGCTAGTCTCAAGTACAACCTTGATGACAAGATTACCCTTGTCATCTTTGGTCTTACCGGCCATCTCAAATGCCTCCTCTGCCGACTCGAGACCTTTGTATCTGTGTGTCACCAACTTGCCAAAGTCGGGATAGTCGTCTCCCTTCTTTGACACAACCTCAATACCAGTGGGGTAAGTGTTGGCGTATCGGAAGACACCCAAGATGTCTACTTCGCGAAGGGCGGCTGCAGAGATGGGGAGGGTCTGAATCGGTGTGCCCATTCCAATTAGGAGAACCTTTCCGCCAGGTCGCGTAGCCTGCATTTCTTCTTAGTCACTGATTGAAAGGAAGATTAGACTATTACTTACGAATATCGATGCCTGCACACATGACGGCACACCAGTGCACTCGAAAACTGCATCAACCTCACCCACTTCTCCGCCGCTCTCTTTTGTGGTTTTGCCAATCTCGGCAGCTACCTCTTTGGCAATGTCGAGTTGCTCTTCTATGGTGTTTCCACGCTTCATGGGTACGGTGAAGCTTCGGTGCGCAAACTTGTTGTCGACTGCGAATTGCACTCGTCCAGAGTCAATGTCTGCTATTACCACTGTGCCCGCACCGGAGATCTTTGCCATGGCTGCTACAAGGATACCAACGGCGCCAGCTCCAAATACCAACACTGTTGAGCCGGGTGCTAGTTGTGCTCGTTTCGAAGCCTGGATAGCTACGCCCAGAGGCTCAAGGAGGGCTCCTAGATCTAGCGACATGTCATCGGGCAATCTGACAACTATTAGCATCGATGATATCCTATGCGATTCCAGGAACTCACTTATGACACCACGCAGCCGGGTGGTTGATGCGGTCTTGCAGCGTTCCCTGCGCATGAGGAAAGGCCTTTGCACTACTCCTAAACTTCATGCCCTTGCAAATATTGTACCGTCCCTCTTTACACCTATCACAGTTCTCGCATGGTTGTCCGACCTCGAGCGCAACTTTGTCTCCGACTTTGAAACCGGAGGCCTCTGAACCCACGCCTACTACAACGCCAGCTGATTCATGCCCAAGCGACATGGGCTCCCGCACAATGATGTCGCCATTGCGGTAGTGTCGGTAGTAGTGGAGATCGGAACCGCAAAGACCAGTGCTGCGAACGCTGATCTGGAGCTCTGTTGGCGAGGGCGGGGGGAGTGAGCGGTTCTCCTAGGATTGAAGTCAGTATGATCACGCATGTAAAGAGATATGCTGACGTACGATTCGCAAGTCCTTTGCGCCATGAAGAACAGAGGCACGGATCTGCCTCGCACCCTGATTAACGTCTGATGTTTGTTCCGAAGACATGGTCTCACTCTCTCGATTTTAGATTAATGCAAACAAGGAAACACGATGGAGTCTGAGGTGTGGATTGGGGAGAACGAGTGTCAGGGAAGACAGGTGACAAGTCAAGTCATCGCATGCGCCTCGGAACCCACTACTGACCAAACATTCGGCGCGTATTCCCCCATGGCACATGGATCGTTGTGGAGAGAAATTCCGACCTTCGGCGTTTGAAATGGCGGGACAACAGATGCCGACACCAAGGGTGGGGTCATGTTCCGAGACTGTTCCGAGCTACCAAGCATGATTCTGGGATTGAGCGCCGTCTTCTTCTTCCGTACATCCCAAAACACTTTTTGAGGCATTTAATCTTGGTTCAGAAAGTACCAGAACTAGTTATTGGTGTGCGTAAAGCCCTTTACCTATTGATATCAACGTTATTCGGTTCCATTTCTCCACCAAAGCCTTCCGAATCTCCATCACGAAGCAAAGACCCAGAGCCACCATGACGTCCGTCAACCAGCTCTTCTCTCTCGAGGGCCAAACCGCCCTGGTAACAGGCGGAACGCGAGGAATCGGTCAATCCATGGCCATTGCACTCGCAGAAGCAGGAGCAGACATTCTTCTTGTCCAGGTAAGCTCTCTCTATGCCCACAAACTCGAAGGATACAGACACACTAACACGCAAGCCCAGCGCGACACTTCGAACCAATCCACCAAGCAAGCAATTGAATCGCTCGGTCGCAAAGCTACAATCTACACCGCAGATCTCGCTTCCAAATCCTCTGTCGCCGCGCTGCTTCCCACTATCCTCAAAGACGGCCACAGGGTACACATCCTGCTCAACTGCGGCGGAATTCAAAGGCGCCACCCTGCACACCAATTTCCAGACGACGACTGGGAAGCCGTACTCCAAGTCAACTTGACCTCTGTATTCCAACTCGCGCGCGATGTAGGCGCGCATATGCTCGCTCAAAACGCCGATCTGCCACTGGGACGACGCGGCAGTATTATCAACGTTGCGTCGCTCTTGACTTTCCAGGGTGGCATTACGGTACCTGCATATGCGGCGTCAAAGGGTGGTGTTGGTCAGCTTACCAAGGCGCTTTCGAATGAGTGGGCCAGCAAGGGTATTAGCGTCAATGCTATTGCGCCTGGGTACATTGCGACGGATATGAACGAGGCGTTGATCAAGGATGAAAAGAGGGCTGAGAGCATTCTGAGCAGAATTCCTGCTGGGCGATGGGGAAGCCCCGAAGACTTCAAGGGCGCCGTGGTGTTCTTGGCTAGTGCCGCGAGTGCATATGTGAGTGGTGAGGTTCTCACGGTTGACGGAGGCTGGATGGGTAGGTGAAATCTAGGTAATGTTATAGAAGCTAGGTTAGAGAACACCCTGCGTATGATCGATCTTTCTAATTTTCACTCATATCAATCAATGCAACGTCTATCAAGAGTTCCTGGCGGTGTCGTATTCATAATATATTATATTGGGTATAGCTTCTAATTTTTTTCTAATTCATTTCCTACAATTTGACCTTCTCAGAGAGTCAAGGACCACTGAGGTCAACGCCATCAGGCTTGTCAGGGAAGCCAAGATCGATACCGAAGGGTGGGTATACGTAACGTTGGATACCCTTGTCCTTGTGGATCTTATCCAGCTTCGCCATGTCGTCGCTATCGAGCGAGATGAGGTTCTTGTTCTCATCGATACGCGAGGGGGTGACGGACTTTGCGAGGACGGATGAGTTGCGGGCGACTCGAGAAAGTTAGTATATTTCATGGCAAAAACTGCATCGAAAGACTTACGGTGGTAACTCAGGAGAATGACGGCGGGTCCAACGCTGTGCTTTTTCGCGACCTCGTTGATAACCTCGTCCTTGAACAGCGGCGAGCCAGTGCTGCCGAGCGGGCTGTACGCGGAGACGTGGATGCCCTTTTCTTTGCAGAAGTCGTAGACCTCTTGTTGTGGGCACAATGGGTGGTTCTCGATCTGGTTGACGGCTGGGACAATGGTGGCTTTGGCGAGGAGCTTCTCCAGATACCTGACGGAGTAGTTGGCAACACCAATGGCCTTGACCTTTTCAGGATGTGTTTGGATGAGCTTCTCCATGTTCTTCCATGTGTCTTGGTGAGTCATTGAGCGGTCGATGTCGCGGGAGCCGTCCTCGAGCATTGGGAAGAGAGGGTGGCTGCCTATATCTGTGTTAGCTTGTTTGATGCTTCAGTCTTTGTGCAACTTACCATTGGGGTTCATGGGCACCGGCCAGTGTACAAGGAACAGGTCAACGTAAGGTGTTTTGAGCAGGTCCAAACTCTTTTGCAGTCCCTCCTCGACACGGGAGTGGAATGTGCACCAGAGCTTGCTGGTAATGAAAAGATCTTCTCTCTTCACAACACCCCGCGAAATGACATCCTGAAGGGCGTCGCCAACCTCGTCCTCGTTCTGGTAGCAGAAGGCGCAGTCAATGTGCCTGTAGCCGCTCTCAATGGCATGGACAACGGCCTTCTTGACTTCACCAGGCCCAGACTTCCACGTTCCCAGACCGAGGGCGGGGATGGTGGCGCCCGTGTTGAGGGGGATAGGAGTGTTCATTTCGGGCTGAGGGTCGAGGATACTCTTTGGTGTACTCTTCAGCATAAACTTGGAAAGGGCAGGATTCATCGTAAAAGGGCCGGGGTGGTGCTGCGATATATATGTGCGTAGCTGTGCCGGCGGGGTGGTTGGCAAGGACGAGCTACGTAGGGTTTGCTAGGGGGTCTCCATGTTGTAGCTAGTACCTGGACGGTTCTGGTATGGTCAAAGACTTACGTCGACCGTGATTGACTCTATAATTGTTCCCGAAGTCCGCTGCTGCCCCGCCAAGCAGCTCTGTCGGAGTAGCTTCGGCCCGCGGCCGGAGACGAGGTAACTAATACTCCTAGTGCGCATTCTCGTTGCTCTCCCAGCCTCACGTGAAAATAGTCTTGGAGGGAGGGAGAATGATCCATAAGTAGACGTGGCCCAGACGTTGGCGACGGTTCGTGGGGTTGGGTCGGGGAAGAGCACACCGAGCATCACGTGCATGGCGGGGCAGACGCTTGGTCGTCATCATGCAGCATCTCCGCCTGATCAATGATTCTTTTCCGTCTCGTATTGCAAACAGTCCAGAACAGGGTGGGCCGGCACTTGTCACGGAGCGCCGAAAATTACTGTGTTGAGGTGGGCGCGGGCCTTTTTGCCTCGTCTTACCCCATAGGATGCACCATGACATGCCAACAAGACATTCCACCCGAACAGCGGCAGATCTAACCCCAACGCCCAACCACCGTCGCCGGATTGCCATCGGGGACCCTTAGCCGTCCATGCTGAGACCCTTAGATCTGCTCGTGGCAGCTCAACGGCAGTTTGGCAGACGGCGAAAGTTACCTTGTGGGACGTTCTTGTCCCCATTTAGCTCATAATTGCGGAGACTCCTCATCCAAGAGTGGATCTTAGTAACGGAGAAGACGAGAACTCTGCCTCACCAGGACTCGTTCTGGGGTTTCTTCGGTAGTAATCTTTTTTTACTGATTATGGCAATTCAAGGCTTTGTAGTGTGAGGGGTACAAGAGGATAAGTACTAGCTAATTCTCGTCGGATTCCATCACAATCCCATCAACCAAACTTTCACTCTACACTGCTGTCTTGAATTTGCTTTTCACAGCGCAGACTCTGTCTTCACTTAAATTTTGCTTTGAGATACCCCCATTCTGTTGATACACAAGCACATCTTCCAAAATGGCACCAGGTGCAATCTTCGAGACGCCAAACGTGGCCGGGGACTTCAACAACCACCGTGATGGACTTGCCCTCGAGGCCACCTCCGATGCCATCGACGACGTCAACGTCCTCAAGGCTGCTCTGAAAGTCAAGAGCGGCGCAGCTTCACAAGAGGAAAAGGACATCTACGAGAAATCAGAATTCGATGCCAACAAGGACAAGACACAGTTCCGCCAGTACGAAGAGGCCTGCGACCGAGTCAAGAACTTCTACCGCGAACAGCACGAGAAGCAGACCGTAGCCTACAACCTCAAAGCCCGCAACTCGTTCCACAGCAAGACGCGCGCCGAGATGACCGTCTGGGAAGCCATGGAAAAACTCAACACACTCATCGACGAGTCGGACCCGGACACCTCACTCTCTCAAATCGAGCACCTCCTCCAATCCGCCGAAGCCATCCGCCGCGACGGCAAGCCCCGCTGGTTCCAACTCGTCGGCCTCATCCACGACCTAGGCAAGCTGCTCTTCTTCTACGAAGCCCGCGGCCAATGGGACGTCGTCGGCGACACCTTCCCCGTCGGCTGCGCCTACTCCGACAAGATCATCTACCCGGATACCTTCAAGAACAACCCAGACTACACCGACGACATCTACAGCACCGAGCACGGCATCTACACCCCCGGCTGCGGCATGGATAACGTCATGTTGTCCTGGGGCCACGACGAGTACCTCTACCACATCATGAAGGATCAGTCGACCATCCCCGATGAGGGACTAGCGATGATTAGGTATCACTCGTTTTACCCGTGGCACTCGCAGGGCGCGTACAAGTGGATGATGAATGAGAAGGATGAGCGCATGCTTGAGGCGGTCAAGGCGTTTAACCCTTATGATCTCTACAGCAAGAGTGATGAGGTACCCAAGGTCGAGGACCTTAAGGATTACTACATGGATATTATTGATGAGTTTATCGGCAAGGATAAGAAGCTCAAGTGGTAAATGTTGTCGGTCATTGGGTAGGGCTGAGCCCCTCTTCTTCTCCTTGCTTTTTCACGAATTTTTCCCATGTCCATGTCATCATGAGTTATTGTTTTTTTCCTTCATGTTATGCAGATAGAGGGCGCGGAGTGCCAGCAAGGCCCGCGAGATGCAGTCGATACATGTTTTGTCTGGCGGAACTTTTCTTTTATCATGAGTTTTCTCAGCGTCAGAGTTGGCAATTTGGATTTTGAAAGAAAGGATGGACACGAATAAAAGTCGGAAGGCCATTCACAGTCGGACATGTGAAGAGTCGTATTCTAGTAGTAATCTTAGAACACATACCATGACAGGTTCCTCTACTTCCACGGTCGTCTTAGACATGCCTCATCCCATATACACTTGCCCCTCGTGAAATGTCGTGTGTCGCGTAAATCCATTCCAGTCCACCGATACCAAACTCACAGCGGGACTCTCTCGCGCCTCCTACCGAACAGGCACACTCTCAACGTTCTCGAAAGCGAAGCTGGGCGAACCAGGCTCAGCCGTCGCAGCTTGAGGTGGCAGTTCCGATCGGATCTCGCCCTTGCTGCCGTCCTCCTTGATCACCGTACCATCCTTTCCACCTTCCGAGACAACAATGATTTCTACGTCGACGCACTTTTGAATCGTCTGCTTCAAGCCTGGAACCATGACCCGCAGGGTTGAGAGTTCATCAAAGGCGAGTTCGCGGTTCAAGACCACCTCCTTGGGCTCTCCGTTGTCGAGGCGACGCTTGAGGTTGTTGATGAAGGGCATAGCTTTCTTGGACTCAGACTTATCGATCGACTTGCTGATTGCCTTGATGTCAATGGTAGCTGCGTCGCGGAGCATGTCGATGTACTTCTTTTGCCAGGCAGGCCATTCTTGAGCAGAGAAGATGGTAATCTTCTTCTCTTTCTTAGGATCAAACGTCGCGGCCTTGCCTTTTGAAAGTTTCTTAATGGCGTTGCCTTCGGCTGATGTGATGTTGGTCTGTGTGGTGCGGACAAACTCGCGAGCGGCGGTGAGTGATGGGTCGGACTCGGGGACCTTTGGCCAGAGGGCGTTCTGGATGGTCTCCTTGTTTTTGAGTACCTCGAGCCATATGTATTCTGCCCAGTGTGGTGCGAGTGGTGTAAGGAGGAGAGCCTGTAGCTCAATGAACTTCTTGACAAGATCCTCGTGCATACCAATGCCTGCCGCCTTGGTAGCTTCGCGATAGAAGTCACGCGCACTGGTAAAGTCGTAGAATCCTGACTTGAGGGCCAACTTGTAGGAAGTGTTGGAGTAGTGACCAAAAGCTTCGTGAACGAGCACGTTCATCTCGTTGTCGAACATCTTGTCGAACAGAAGGCGCTCACTACCGCTCTTTCGCTGGATCACATCGGCGTGCTTTAAGCGCTCGTTTGCCCTTTTCTCCATGTACGCAGCCGCATCAGGGACATAGATGGCCTCATTCACCAAATCCTCACACCATTTGCGGAGCTCGAACAACTTCAGAATGTTACTGTTTGCGACAGTTTCCTCGAAATTGGCGTCTGAGATCTCGTCTCCGGCGTCGGCCAGAGCAATACGTGTAGCATCTGCACCGAACTTTTGGACCGCGCCAGCGATGGTCAAGAAGTTGCCAGTAGACTTGCTCATCTTGTCACCGTTGAGTAGCAAGTGGCCGTTGACACGGAAGCTGCGTGGCCAGTTCTCCTTCGGGAAGATTGCGGCATGTACATATAGGTTCATCGTCAGATGGTTTTGAATGAGATCTTTGCCAGAAGAACGTTGGTCAAGCGGGTACCAGTAGTCGAAGTGGCGTCGCATAGTCTCGAGAGCCTGCTTAGGAATTGTCGACTGTGGGACATCGCTTCGGTCGCGGAGGGCAAAGACGTAGTCCCAGGCTTCATCCGTCATCTGGTCAGGTTTGACACCAAGAGGGCCTGGCTCTTTGCCGAACATGTCCTTGTGCAGCAAATGAGCAAATGAGTAGTATGCCTGGTAGATGGTACTATCGGACAAACTCTCAACCATCACACTTGGGTCCCAAGGCACCTTGGTACCCAGTCCGTAGGATCGAGCGCATGCCCAGATGCCGAGCCAGTCAACGACTCGCAAGAATTGGTTCTTCGCTTCAGGGTAGTAGAGATTGAGTTCACCCTCGATGTGGGATCGGACCTTTTCGGCCCACTCGCCATCTCCGCCGTTGGCCGCTGTGCCGTAGTTCATGTACCACTGGTCAAGCAGGGCCGCAACACAATCGTCTCCACTACGGCTGATGACCTTTCCATCAGGCTCGGCGTAAGGGAAAGCGACACCAGAGTCGATAAGTTGCTTACGAACCAATGGCTTGGCCTCCTCGACTGGCTTACCAGCGAAGTCACCATACACCATCTTGCCCTTGTAGAAACCTTCCTTGTATGCCTTCTCTTTGGCTTCGGCAAGCTTCGCGGAGTCCTTGGGCGATTGGATCTTCATCTCCTCGACCAGCTTCTGTGCAGTGAGGTTTCCGTAGGTTGGTGTCTCTATGATGCCAAGCAGGTTGTCAAACTTGACCCATTCTTTTTGAATTCCGTAATAATCCGCCTTCTTAGCCAGGTCAAATGACGTGATGTAATCATCTGGCGAGTCTGATGGTACGCAGGTAACGACGGCCGTGCCCTTTGTGTCCTTGACGGTCTCCATTGGAAGAATGTAAACTTCCTTATGAACGGAGAGAGGAGCGTTGACGATGGTGCCAATGACATCCTTACCGGGGAATGTAGCGATGATTGAGTACTCGCCCCATTTAGCGGTGGTGCCCTGGTACGCCATATTCCTTGCGGCTCTCTCGCTCAGTACAAAGTACTCACTGTCGTTGATCTTAACCAGCGAGTAGTTGATTGAAGGACCTACGAAACATGAAGTTTGGCCGTACATCGTCTCGGGGCGGAGTGTAGCTGGCACAAAGTAGCAGGAAGCACCTTCAGGGAGACCAGTGATATGTGTTTTGGCGGAGTCAGCCCATTTGACCACCTTCATCTTCAACGCCGTATACTCCTGAACAGTGACACCTTCTCCAGACTGCCTGTCATGGTCCATGCAGGCTTGTCCGTCTTTCGGACTGTAGACAGTGTATCGCTTAGCGAAGATGATCTTACCCATTGCTTTCAGTCGTCGCATTTGCCAAGCAACAAAGCTGTCGTAGTAGGGATTTGCGTCTGTTGTGACGAATTGACGCCTCCAGTCGATCCTGGCGCCAAATGCTGTGAGATCCCTCTTGGCGAGCGGGGGGAAGAATTCTATCCAGTGATACGGGTCAGAGAACTTGTGAATCTCTTCTAGAGGTATGCCTTGAGCAAGCATGATCTGGAACTGGTATTTGGTCTTGACTGTCTTGGCGGCGGCCTTGCCTTTCTGAGCCTTGAACTTGGTGATGTCGGTCTTGGTCTCAGCTTGTGTGGGGGTGGGGGGCTCTGATACGGCTGTCTCAACGACGTCCTCGACTGGGCAACGCTCAAAGTTCTGTCCGAACATCTCCACTTCTCTAACGAGCTTGTCGGCACATGCTTTGATGGGCATACCAGTTACGTGCCATCCCAATGGGAAAAGCACTCGCTTACCCAGCATCCTCTGGACTGTCAAAGTATCAGTAAATATCTTGCACGTGATCGTCTAGTTAAACATACAGCCAGCAGTAAACTCAACTTTACTTGCAGTAAAGCCATGACCAGCGTGAAGGGTTCCGTTCATGTAGGGATAAGCGAAGCAGCCAAGCCACTTGGGAAACTTCTCATGAAGTTGGTCTGGTGTGGTAGTGTCAAACGGCTCCTCCTCAAGCGAGGGGGCATCGGGGTTGAAAACGCCCTGCTCTTCCCATGATTTCTGATACTTCTTCTCTTCTGCGATCAACGTGTCACGCTTGTCGGTGTTTTCAATTTTGAGTGTCTTTGACTCAGCCTCTTGGGGCTTGAGTTGCTCAAGTGTGGCGGCAACAGCGCTCTTGGGCGCCTCGCTGGATTTTATGGTCTCGGCCATGACCAGTTGTCCAGGAAACGAAATAGGGAGCGTGAGAATTGAAAAAAAAGTGGTTGGTGGTGGCGGAGGCGAGTTTGTTTGTGATGGAGTCATCCGGTAGGAAATCCGAGTGCGGGATGAATGCCAAGAGTGCGGTTTTTGTGGGGCGGACTCGGACCGTGCGCGCTTTTGTAAAGAACGTCAGTTGACGATCGAGATAGATCCAAAAATCTGCGTCGCTCGAAAATCGGTCGCATAAGCCAACATCGCGCCGCCATCGCATCGGCAAGGCCAGTCAAGATGCTGCGCCTCATCAACCGTCTCATTGGCCGCCATGAGAACACACTGCCGCCCTTTGACTTTGCGCGCAACAAATACCTCGTCAAGAAGAAATGGCCGCCAAACCTTCGCGCCCTGACGGAAAAGCAACAATTCCGATTCGAGCGCAAATTCAAGCGGCGCATCAAATTGAAGTCTGAGCGGCCATTGTGGAACAAATGGACCAAAGTGGTGCAGTGGAGTCTGATCAGCTTCATCGTCGTTTATGGCGTCTTGTTCCACGACTTCAGAAAGGACCCGATGAACCCAAGGCCAGGAGAACAACCTTTTGAGGGCTTAAGGCAAAGAATGTGGGGGCTTTTGGGAGGGTTCTATACACATACCGAAGACACTATGAAGGGCACGGGAGGAGAAAGGGGTGCCAGAAGGCTGGTACTTCCACCGGAGGAGAAGCGAGAGGGGATGGCGCCTACGGACGTTCAAAAATAGGCGTGATTGGAGGGCGCTGTAGTAAAAATTATCAGCGCGTAAAAAAGATGAAAATTCAGTAAAGAAGCCCAATTGGTGTTCAAGACTTCAAATACAGCTTGTGCTCTACGAGTTTGTAAACAAGGAAGACGTACTGGAAGGGCATATCGAGGAAGCGGTCCGCCAGGCGGTTCCAAGATATTCTGAGGTCGTCGCAATCTCGTCTAGCCAGAGTCAGACATTTTGCTGATTGTTCTTCACAACCACCAACTCGCACTTACATCCCAGAAAATATAGCGCTGATCGCGATACTTCTTGTACCAGCGTGACCTAAGGAGCAATCAGAAGCCGGCGATGTATCTGGAGACTGAAATTCTCACGACCACGCAGCGCCTGCGAATTCTATCGTCTCCGACCAGTCTTTGTACACATGGGCGGTCGCCACCCGCTTGTACTCGCCACTAAGCACACATCAGCCCGGTTCATAGCGAAGTTTAAGTTCGGATTGAACACGCTTCGAGAGATGGCTTACTAGAGAAACGTATACCGTAGTTCCACGGTGAAGTGTGGGTATCGGTCTGACTCGTGCCAGCCCTTCTTGACATAGGCTTCTGTGCCTATGGCCTCCGGAGGGAAGTTCCAGGGATCTTCCCTTCCAAAAGTGAACCCCTCAATCAACGATGTTGGGTCGTTTCGGTTGCATAGGTCTTGGTATATACCCTCTTGCTCCTCCTGGGATATGCCGTGGGCGAAGCCTATACTGTAGATACGGTATCTGTGTATTCAATTAGTGAATAATCACCAAAGGATAGAGCAGTGGCCCATATAGGTTTCTGTTCGAAGCCAGTTGTATCCAGTCTCTTGAATCCCGATCGTTCAAACACTTGTGTGTTTCTATTGTCGCCTTGCCCAACGAATACGAACGGATAGAATGCGTCGATCGCCCGTAGGTCCAGTATTGCATGAAGAATGCAAACGCTTCAGGTAACCTTCTTCGTACCCATTGATCGGTAGCGTCAAGTCTGAAGTGTCCTGGTGGAAGTTGAAGCAAAACGTATTCGAAAGGCAGATGTGGCTTACTCGTCAGTAGGAGCTTTTCAATTCTCAGTATTGGGGAACTTACAAGTAACTACGGGCTGTCTCGTCACCAGATCCCACGGTTCATCAGCCCCAGCCAACCAAACCTGACTGTCGGTTGCAGAATCATCCGATTGATGGCCGTTCAGTTCCTACCCTGGCTCTCCATGCACTCCTTTCCGCCTTACCTTGTTTAAAAAAAAACAAAGAAGCAGGAAACGCTCAGATCGCCCAGAACAAAATTCAAACGCGGTGGGACCGCAACAGGGGATGTAGAGGGGGGTTGCCTACCTTGTTGCCATCTTTTCTGGCTTCTAGCTTCTGGCTCCTGGCTTCTGGCTTGTAGCTTCTGATGTGAAACCTGCTGGAGATTGCGATTCCTCCAAGCTGTAGGTGTTCGTAGTTGGGATAGGTATTGAAGTCTCAGTAATGGGTATCGATATCCCAGTTGCCAGTGGTGAAGTCGGTATTTCGTCCAGGTAGTGAGAATTTACCTTTGTCGAAGCGAAGATTTGTATGATCGATATGTGATACGCGATCAAAACATGGGCTCGTCTTGGGAGCCGTGATAGTGAGCGAACGGTCATTTACGTTATTTCCCGTTCGGGAAAGTGAAGAGTGAAAACTACTGACTCGAGGGCAGTGAAAGAGATCGCACTCCCAATCCGTCATCATCACTGGGTAGAGCGCATACATATTACGATTTTGTAGAACAATTAACATGATGGCTTCAAAAACCATCGCATGCTTCTAGTCCATTTGATGTCTATTGTACAGAGAACAAGGATGCCATTCAACAAGATCCGCATACGAGTCACTGAGAACATGAATATATAAATATGAAAGACAAACACCGTTTCTACTCTAAATATGAGGACTATAATTTAATGAGGATAGTTATACCGAAAAGGTGTCAATGGCGTTGAAGTCTGCGTCATCACCAAGAAGAGTGACCCATCACACATTGCATTCTTTGTCAAGAACTTGGCCTCTCATACTGAAGCACCACAATACATCACACATAGCATTGTTTGTCAAGAATTCATTCTTTCATACTGAAGCACGACAATCAACTCAGATTCAATACGCTCATGTATTTAATGTAGTATCTCACAACCGCTTGGGCGCTTAGCAAACTAGACCATCGTTGGACGACTCAAAAACACACTATACTACGCGCTTAAACATCGATTAAGTTCTCGCCCTGCTGTCCTTCACCAGAGTTGTCCTTAGTGTCCTTGTTGCTCTTCTTCTTGTCGCCATCAGCGCCGCCGCGACTCCTCTGGTAGTACTGATCAAGAACCTTGGCTGGGATACGGTTGAGAAGTTCCTTGGGGTAAATGCGGAGTAGCGACCATGCTAGATCGAGAGACTCGTGAATGGAACGAGATTCGTAAGCACCCTGAGCAATGAAGGAACGCTCAAACTTCTCGAGGAACTCGAGGGACAGCTTGTCTTCGGAAGACAAGGCTTCCTCTCCGACGACTGCCTTCATGGCTGCGGCGTCACGGCCAATGGCGTACTTTGCGTAAAGCTGGTTGGAAACATCACCGTGGTCTTTCCGTGTGCGGCCCTCACCAATGGCGGACTTCATAAGACGAGAAAGCGATGGGAGGACGTTGATGGGAGGGTAGATACCCTTGTTGTCGAGTTGACGATCAATGAAGATCTGACCCTCGGTAATGTAACCAGTCAAGTCAGGAATGGGATGTGTGATGTCTGTTATGGTCAGTACGCAGCCGTGCTCATGATCTTGCAATACATACCGTCGTTAGGCATGGTCAGAATGGGAATCTGAGTGATTGATCCGTTGCGGCCTTCGACACGTCCTGCGCGCTCGTAGATGGTGGACAAATCAGTGTACATGTAACCGGGGTAACCACGTCGACCGGGGACTTCTTCTCTGGCAGCCGAAACTTCACGCAGCGCATCGCAGTAGGAAGACAAATCGGTAAGAATGACCAATACGTGCTTCTCGAGCTGATAGGCGTAGTATTCGGCGGTCGTAAGAGCGAGACGAGGAGTAATGATACGCTCAATACTATGTTCGGTTAGCTAAAAGTAGGGGTTGCAAGAATGTCGGGCGCTTACGTAGGGTCGTTTGCCAAGTTGAGGAACAATGTGACACGCTCCATACTGCCGTTCTCCTCGAAGTCGCGAGTGAAGAAGCGACTCGTTTCCAAGTTCACACCCATGGCACCGAAGACAATGGAGAAGTTGTCGTCGTGGTCGTCGTGTACGCCCTTGGTGGGCTTTCCGACCAGGCCAGCTTGTCTACAAATCTGCGCAGCGATTTCGTTGTGGGGAAGACCGGAGGAGGAGAAGATGGGAATCTTCTGGCCACGAGCGATAGAGTTCATTGTGTCAATGGCCGAGATACCAGTAGAGATCATCTCTTCGGGGTACACCTGGAACACGGTCAGTCGCAAAATGTAGCAAATACGGACTGGATACATACTCGAGAGTATGGGTTGATGGGACTACCGTTAATGTCGAGGTAGTCCTCAGCCAGGACCTTGGGGCCCTTGTCAATGGGCTTTCCTGAACCATCGAAAATACGACCCAGCATGTCCTCGGACACACCGAGCTTCAGACTGTGTCCAGTGAACTCGACTTTGGTCTGCGACAGTCAGCTATCATTCTCTGTGGGAGGCGGGTATAATGACCTTCTGAACGTCGATGCCGGATGTACCCTCGAAGACCTGTGTCGCAGTCAGAAAATGTTGTCGCGCGGCTTCAGCTTTTCAAAGTTTACCTGAACGACGGCGCGATTACCTGCAGCTTGGATCAGCATCATACCTACAGGGTCGATATCTGGGGTAGCTTACCTCGAGCTTCGAGGACTTGGCCAGAGCGCTCGGTGCCATCAGGCAGCGTCAAAGATACAATCTCGTTGTATCGGGGGAATTTGACCTGTCCGCCACATGCATAAGCTTCTTTTCATGCGTCGCTATGCTTCCGAGCAACATACATTGTCGAGAATGACGAGTGGACCGTTTACGCCGCCGATGGTGTTGTATCGTATTCTAGGCGTCACCGAAATCATGCGGGGGTCCACGACTTCAGGCATGATGGCGGTGGTGAGCGGTTCGTTGGAGATGTAGTATCGCTCGGGATTGATTCGAGGGCCGCGGTCGGTCTGTAGCCTCGGAGATCGTTTGGGTGACGAAGTTGAAGGTCAAGCCGTCGAAGTGGGTTGGAAGCTCTGACCAGGGTGCTCTAGCGTTATGCGACAGATGACGCCGGGGGGGGGGCTGTTAGCGCTTGGCACTTCACAATGGTTGCAGATACATACATGCCGAAGCATGCCATGGTGCTTTTACTCTGGCTTCAGTAGTGTTTACGGTGAAATAATTTGTAATATCCGCGGACATGCATCCAGCTCGACAGACATGGGCTAGTACAGGCTCACGCTCAAAAAACAAAGTCCTAGTGAGCTAGCTGGGTAGCTGCAACTGCGATCGAGGTCACATGAGATGGGAATGCAATGCCCACAGTCACAAGCCTGGGTTTAGCGTCTAGTATAGCCAGTGCCTGCCACCGGACGCGACAAGGAGCTGTTGATAGCCGACGTCACGTCATCAGATGGACGTGTACACAACTCTGAACTTGCACTACAACAACAAATATGATTGCTACATATCTATCTACGTTCCGAGCCAGCCAGCATCCGTCACATCAAGCAATATTCTTCAAGAACTAATGCATAAAGTCTGTTGATTCTTGTCAGTCGTTGCGCAAAAAAGTTTGAACAAGTACGGGACAGGATGGGTTGAAGGATCAGACATCCAAGGAAGGTATTCGCGCTCATTGTCCATCGGTTGTAGGTTCAATTGATGGCTAGCGTGGAAACTGCGAATGTGGAAATGTTTCATCATGAAGGGGGCGGGTGAAAGGCGTGCAAAAAAAGGGCTAACTGACCTTTTGAGAACTGCAACGCGACC